TTATTCTTTCATTGAGAATTGTTTTGATTTCACTTTATAGAGTGTAAAATCAAAAGTACAATAAAAGATAATTACATATTTGAATCTAAATTAATTATTTTTAATATATAAAGATAACTAATCATAAAGTAGAAAAGGGAACTTCTGTGCATGTGTATACACAGACTACAGTAATTTAATGATTAATTTAAAGGATGTGTATATTGCACAGCAGTTCATTGTACATTAAAGCTGTGAAACTTGAACTATAAAAGAAAAAGAGAAGTATCAGCTAAAGTACTTGAATTATAGGCATTATCAAAGGATTCCTTGAATGTTGTAGAATGAAAAAGTGGACAATGTTGTTGAGGTTAGGTGAAAATGACAAAATCAGTTAATGATCTTGTAAACTTTCATCGACTAAGGTGGTCAGAACATTTGTTACATATGTCTAATTAACGCTCACTTCGATAGGCAATATTGTCTAACATAGGAGTAAGTTGGAAGAAAGTTAGTGAAAGTCAAACAGAGATATGGTATTAGTCCATAAGTTTATTGAATGTTGGACAGAGCACTGTTGGCAAATCCAGACCAAATGGTTGTGGCTTGTGCAAGAATTGTAGTCGCAGACGTTGAGTGACATTACTCTGAATCGTTCACAATGACACAATTATATTTACTTAGTATTTTTCTTTGAATTTTCAGTTCTAGTATACCGTCAAAGATATATTTCCACTCTATCTTTTCGAACCGTACCTTCAATATTCATTAATTCTCATTATGATTGCTATTACATTATTTCGATCACTTTTGCAATTCATATTGTTAATTGCATTTCGTTGCGCTAATTGAGTAATGGCAACTTGTGTCAGCATACATTCATGTCGAACTCTAAGTTGATTAAACTTACTGACAAGAATTTCAACTGTTGGTTATATTATAGTTGAAAGGGTTATATAGAGTGTGGTATAATTTTTAGATAACATTGAATACCAGGGAACATTTGATAGCTATTCCATTCTAGTATGCGGTTCTTAGTAGCGTGCATTCTCGACCCCTTTCTCCTGTGAGTTAATCTGTGGTGAGTGCAACTTACAAATTACCTCAATCTCCACAGAACCATCTCAACTAATAATAATCACTCAACTAGTGGAGTTTCGAAATGCTGGAGGTGAAAAAGTTATCACCAATTGTATTGGGATGATCATCGAGTTATGTCGAAAATCCATTGAAATTGACATTGTACTACTGGACACTAACTTGAAGGTTTAGATGGTTAAATGTTCGCCATAAGGTTTGAAGGCTCTAGGTCCGATCTCTACTGGAGTTGTGGGTGCCAACTACTGAGTTATATACAAGGATGAAATGGCTGTTTGGTTCTACGTTTGAAAAATAGTATCCATATTTTGATCTTCGGTAGTCTAGTAAATTAGTAACACAAGTCCTTGACAAAAATAAAAACTCCAGCTTTAAATTCGATGCTTAATGAATTGTATGAGTTCAACAACTTCTCAACTTCCTATTTTTTTTTCGAAGGGGAAAAACAACGTGTAGGTCAATTTATACTATGGCAATTTCAGATACATTGTTGCTATGTGATTGTGAAGCAAAATACTCCTACTGTCTATAGATAAATAAGATATTCCATTCAACAACAATTATAATCACTTATCAATCGGAAACTGAAACAAATTTTAAGACCAAAACTAACTTCAAAGTACATTATATAACACTTTACATATTTGACATAATAGGAAAGCCTGAAATTTACGCTTGTAACGTTTATTTATCTGGTTGAAATCACGAGTCAATTGAAGCTAGACCACCATGGAAAGCCTGTAAGCACTGGACGGCCGTCTCGTCCTAGTATGGGACTCCCCAGCACCCACGACCGCGCACCTCGCGGGATTCGAACCCAGGACCTGCCATACTCGCGCGCGAGGACTTAACTATTAGGCCATTGAGCCGGCATCCAACGGTGTTAGTGTCTAACTTCAACCAATCCACGAAGTTGCACCACCGTGAACCATTGTCTTCAGTGAGTTCCTATCTCACAACAGACCTGGTTGAACTCCACTGCTAACGACTTCTCACTAGAACTCCAGGAGTGTCTTCTGAAGTCAGTCACTAGTGAGCAGGTGATTATTATTATTATTATTATCAGAATGGGTTTTGTGGAAATTTTTAGAAGTTTCACTGATTGAAATCATGAGTCACTTGAAGCTAGACCATCATGGAAAACCTGGAAGCACTGGACGGCCGTTAATATTTTGTATATAAGCTTCTTATTTTGTTACAAAAAAAGACCCTATTCAACTGGACAACTTTCTTTTCCTCTGATCTCAAGTTCAATTAAAAATTTACTTCAATAGTTCAGTCTCATAAAAGGTTATCCACTTGACCATATCGTACATTATCAACAGATTAGTATATTTCATCCATGAATTTAACACTTTTCATTACAAATGATAAAAAGCTACATTATAACAATATTATTAACATCTCAACTTATTTATCAAGTACACGTTTATCCAGTTGACTTTGAGACAAAGTTAATTGATAAAGATTAGTGTATAATATTAACATTAACAATTATAGAAACAGAATAGAATTGAAGCAAATAAATTCGGATAATATGAAGTATCGGTTAAAGTTTGGATGCATTAATTCACTACAACAATAATGATAGATATTACCTGGTAACTACTATGAATCACTAGTATGGGGTTTGTGGAGATTAAGTTTTTGATTCAGATCATGAACCGATTGATGTTAGACCACCACCTTTGGAAACTTGTAAGCACTGGGTGGCCGTTTCATCCATCGTGGGACTCCTCAGCAGTGCGCATCCACGATCCCGTTTGCGGGATTCGAACCCAGGGCCTTCGGTTTCGCGCGCGAACGCTTAACCTACTGGACCATTGAGCCGGCATCCAATGGTGATAGTGTCTAACATCAACCAATCCACGAAATTGCGCGACCAACTTCTGTCGTACTGAGGTAGATACCTGTCTCTACCCTACATGGATTAGCTCCACTGGTCACGGCTTCTCACTAGAACTCCGAGAATTCTCTCACGAGGCTAGTCACTAGTGAGCACATGTTGATTACTAGTATAGGGCTTGTAGAGATTATTAAGTTTCTGATTGAGATCATGAATCATTTTAACATTTAATAAACAAATAAAGAAAAAAAAAGTAGCGAAAAGGATAACTCAAAAATAGAAAAAAAAATTACCGAAGCGAATAAATAATTTCAAATGAACAATCATGATAATAATAATAATGGCGAAAAGTAATCTACATAAAAATATCAAATTTTTGCTTTTAAACACTAAATGTCTTATAAACAGTTCACATTCGTCCTAGATATCGGAGACAAAACAAGCATTTGAGTGTAAAAAGAGAAAAATAAATGTGGCAGTAGAAAAGAAAGCTTGAAAGAGTTCGAACAAAAAAAACAACGATAACAAATGATAACAAGCTACTGTGTTTGTGTGTGCATAGACGAGTGAGTGAGTGAGTCAAAGAGGGAAGGAGGACAATATCTAACATCTCTTTATCAAGAAATAAATATGAGCAGGCAGGTAAAGAGATATTTATGATAAACGTGCACGGCCACACAACCACAAGTATATAAGTTGTGAATAAACTGAAAATTGGACAACTCCAAGTATAAGGCTAACTCTAACCACTGATCCCTATCTTGTATAAAATAATATATTGTGTTCGAATAACAAGGCAGTAGTATTCTGACGAAACAGCAAATAGGGAGAGGAGACTGATAAAACTGATAGACAAAGAAAAAGAGGAAAAAGAAGACGGGAAATGTGAACCAATAGTGAAATGAAAGAAATACTGCCACTTTAGTTCACTTGTTATTATTACTGTTGTTCCATGGATCAAGGCCTCCCATGAACAGAAAATACATCGACCGGTTAACCGACAAAAATGAGATGAACGAATAAAACACCATCAGGTTTATTCTATTTCATACTCATATGGTTTTTTCGCTAGTCTACTCGTACGCATACACACACATCAGAAAAACATCAATAACAATCGTGTTGCATAATAATGAGAAGAAATTCTCTTGTAAAAGTAAATAATAATAATGAATTGCCATTCGATGAAATAATAGTAGTGGAGGGGGTAAGGTGTAATTGAGTTGAGAGAATATTTTCGGTAGATGTAAATGTAACAAGAGTAGAAAAACCTTTACAGTTGTCTATTGATTATGAAACTAATTTTAAGACAAAACGTAAAACAATAAAATCGAATAAGAAGAAAATGAATGATATTAACAGGACAACAATGACGATGACAATAATAATCAGCTTTGTTGCGTCATCACAGTGTAACCCTAACCTACTATACACCTAGCATGCAATTTCCTTTTGTAGTTAAATAATGAAAAACTTAGACAAAATAAATTACTCGGAAAAAACAAAGAAAGATTACACCTAGTAGTTATGTCTAAATTTTGTTGAAAAATAAATAACAACACAAAAAAATGTTTGCGTTTATGATAAACCTCATTACTTAAATGCTTGAATCTGACATTCTAGATACTTTCTATAACCTTAGACTACTTCTACATGCGAATTTATACAATAGGGGAAAGACATGAAACATGAGTAAAAGCTTTACTCCAAGGTTAATCGAATTGCTGATGGGTAGATAACCCATTGAAATGTAGCATAATGTTTTGGGGGCGCATTTATTCTTGCAGATGAACTAAGATACTTTCAACTTTTCCTGAGATTTTAGAGTCTTTGTCAAGAAATATTTCTAACTCGTGGTAAAACTATATTATACCAGTGAATCAAACAGAAGGAAGGTACCGGTTATTGGATTTTTGCGGATAATTCAAAGGCAACGATGGACGTTTTGTACCTTCTTAAGAGTTGAGTAAAGAATTTTCATACTTAAGTCATAGGCTGTTTAAAATTGACAAAAAATATTTTTTATGCAATAACTTGTAATTATAAAAGCGAGTACTTCTTTTTAACATAGATTTTTGCTACTTTCTGACTGGTGGCTACCATTTTTATTGTATATCCTAACATCATGTTCTGTGATTATATATACAGAGTTATTCTGTTTCAAACTATCCTTTGTCAAACATCGAGTGCCTTACTCTTGGGTTTCACCGTTGACGATTATTGTTGCACTGTTATGTGTCAGTCGTTTGCGTCTTGTCAAGTGAACAAATAATTCCATTTGTATTTGAACTATCTCGATCGTTCCTAAGTAGAAATCAATTTAAAACTCACGTACGGAAACCTTATAATAATTGTTTATAAAGATATAACAGCGGCGTAATCAAAGAACATTCAGGATAACTCCCGAACCTTCCTTATTATTACCAAAAAATATTTTGAAAAATAATTACATTCATGAAACTGCTTTGATTGTTGTTTTAGCAGTATTCAAAATCAATAAAACTCGACAGATTGATATCAGTTTCAGAAATAAAAAAAAAACAGAATCACCATTGCAAAAAGTCATATGAATACACTAAACTGATCATTGTGATTTTACATTATAAATTATCCTTGAATGACCAACCATGAAAAGCCAGGAAGAAATGAACAGCTATTTCATCTTAGTGTACAACTTTCTAACGAATTCACTAGAGATCAAACTAAGTACAATTACGCCTACAAGGAAACGCTTAACTTTTAGACTGGTATTCACACTTCAGTCAATTCACGAATTTTGAACAACTATGTAACAGGTTCAAATCTATTTTATGCCTTACGCTAAACAGGTAATTTGATAGGTGATTACAAAAACAAAAGATGATATTTAGAGTTGAACGTGTGAAACCATGTGCCATACAACATTAATAATAATAATAACGCTAGTATGATTGAAAGGGTTTTGTGGAGATTGGTTTATCGTGTAGATTATATTTATTGATATGTATATTGATATTAATGTTATTGGACTCCAACGTAGCGATACTAATGGTTAAACGTTTATTGATAGATGTAAATCTTTCAAGTTTATCTTCTGGTGGTGTTATGGGCGTCTATCGATGAGAATTAGTCTCATATATGAGATGCGATCAATCTGTGATGAATACAACCCATAAATAATAATAGTAACTGCATTGTACTCAGCTTTCTTTTTTTACAGCATTAAGATATCTTCAAATAGAAAATATACAAATATCAGGCAAACATATTTTGTGAATCTTCTTGATGAAACAATCAAACATGACTGATTGAAATCGAATAGATATGGGTGCACAAACACAAAAATAAACCAAATTAATATTTTAAAAAATAGAATAATAAAACAAAATAAATACGCAACATCAACATTGAATAAATATGATATCGCCAACTTACTACACGAAATTCTTTAAACTTTTTCACTGGTCGCTTTTTCTTCTTTGAAGCACCATTTGTTGAAGATTCAACAGGTGGTGTGTTGAAGAACGATGTATAGTCAGCTGAAGAATCTTTTTTTTGTTGGTAAAATTGAGAAAAATCAAAACAATAGATGGAAAACATATATCGCTGAGGTTAAACAAAAAAGCCAAACGCACTCTTGTGCTATGAAATGAATAAACATATGGAATGAGATTAATTGACACTGTGTCTGAGTTTCTAGAAGGGAAATATTATAGTAGAGTTATTAGACCTAATATTCTACTGCAGTAATTACTTGATCATGTTATATACATATAAACATAATCAATATACTACCCACAGTAAGTTATTTCCCAATAATGTCTTTAAATTCTCAACAATGCGTCTAAAGAATATTTCTCTCTGTTATTGTTTTGGATTGATTTAGGTATTATTGTAAATTAATTAATTTTCTGAACATTCAACTATTTTCTCACTTTTGGTTCAAGTTGCTAGTAAATTACGATGTGAATTACTCAGACAATACCAATATCTTTATTCATTCCCTGGTTCTAAGTAAAAGTTGATTGTGTTTATTTGATATCTATTTGACAGATAATAAAAATAATAATCAAGTGATAACCACTGTTAATGGTTGGAGACGCGTTTTGTAACACGACTCCAGATTTCTTACAATTACTCGGGTGCATTTACTGACTATTTTAATCTAAATATTGAGCCACATTATTGTTTCCTACATCTCCTTTCATTTTATATTCTTAAAGAAGATATTATTAATATTTAGTTATTCCTATTATCATAGTTGTCACATGATTTTGACTCGTTTATTATTTATTTTGTCGATTTCATCTCGTCCTGTTAATATGGTACGGTGATTAGGATCAATCCACACTTGCACGAGACTCCATGTAAACTACGGTTGACCTGCTTTATTATTATGAACCATAAATTTTGTTGCAGTAAAAGAATTCTCTGTACTAGATATGAAATATTGTGAGAGATTCCTGCCTAAGAATTTAAATACACATCTTCTAGATACTTTCTTGATAATTAGCATCTGTCATTCATAATCTTCGATCATAAAACCTTTCTATCAATTCAGCTGCAGTAACCCTTTTGTTCATCAGTCATATATATGAAGTGATTGAAGGTAATCGGCAAGAAGAACTGATAGATCTAGGTATTATGCTAGTTGGCACTTGTCAGCAAACCCTATCAAAAATCTTGAGGGAACTCGTGATCTCTGTGGGATTCGAACACGAACCAAACAATTTCACAATCTCAGACGTTATCAATGAGTTATTCGGGCCTCAAGAAATCATGACAGATGTAGAAAGTATAGATTCCAGTGTGATTGCCTTTCATTTATTAAAACAGTAGACGAAAATGTAAAATAAATTGACAGTTTTAGGTATTTAACACCATAATAGACCATATTGCTTTTTTAGGATAAATGAGTGAGTACATACACGTTTAGAACTAATAACGATTCAGTTAAAATAAAACCAAAATGGGAAGATTTGTTGGGCTATTTGCACAGTTGGAGAAATAAATGGACCAAACTGTTGGAGGGCTGATCCAAATAAATATTCCAATTACATGTTGGAGTTGTCGCAACGACAAATATTATACCTTACTATTATTGGGACCGTTAGAGTATACGAACATCAATTACTTTTATTAGTAACTATGTTTTGCAATGTAATGTTTATTTATTTCGTAATATTCCCTTCGATATGAAAGTTTTACTAAAAATTCCCCATCTCGTTCTGGTCTAATTTGAATGGGGCTGTTATTAATTGAACAATAATTCGATCAATCAGAGTCACGTTAGATTTCACTTTCTGACTGGAAAATTTTTTCAATCGTTATCCTGTACTGACAAACAAAATAATATCGATTCACAACATGTTTAAGCAAGCTGTTGTCACTGCCGCCTAGTATAGAGATATGAAGCTTAAATATAAACTTACGAATCTATACTGTTTATACACACTAGAATATTCATGAACTGGAAAGAAATAAGAACAAAATAAATAAATATATACAAACCTTCTAATTGTTCAGGACTAGATTCACATTTAATTAAAATGGATACATCATCCATTTCCATATTTTTATTGGGATTGATTTGATGACTAGAATTGCTACCCTGTCGCAGTGTTGATTTTTGTTGTTCATAAGTTTTCCTGCGTCTTTTACCCTTGGTGTTTGTCTAATGATAAATGAAAACAAAGAAAAAAGACAGATTAAAAAAATGAACACTAAAGTAGTCAATCAGCCTGTCATAATCAACGTACAGATTGATAAAAGTGTGGATTCGTTGAAGATACCAAACCACTCATACTGAGTGAAGAGAAATGAAATTTACGAGTTGAGTAACACGGGAGTCGAAATCATTTAGAATATGGTTTGGAAAGAATGAATCATAAAGTAGGAATGAAGAAAAAATGCTGGGGTTCAACGTTTAGAGGGAGATAACGATTGAATGAATATACACTAGAATAACCGATTTCGAACCACATCATCCGACATTTCCAATCAGAGATGGCGATTATTGTTTAAACCCCGATATAGTAGTTGTCCTCACCTGTAATCATAGTCTAGATTGAAGGTTGATGATATGGTGGACTAAAAACATGTCATCGTTTATCAGTCCGTAGATTTCTTTCAACTTATTCTTACACCAGGCAACAGTGTAAGTCAAAATAAGTGAAAACCATGTAATACATGTACCAACCACTTACGTTGATGAAGACTTACAGCCTTATCAGAAGACTTACCATCTTTGACTAGTGATTTATACCTAAACTCATTACTGCTTTTATTAGGTCGTTTCATAATTCGCGATTAATCCTTCGGCGATATCTATGATCAAAAATCTGATACTGAAGAATGTTTCCATGATTCATATTTCGAGACTTTATTTGACGTACCGCTACCCCGTCCCACAAAAAAGGGAGAACTGATCGGAATTCTACCATTAAGTTAAGTGGCTTATATTGCTTATAGAATTACACAACTAACAATGTGAAGGTTGATATAATAAGGAGATGAAAACGAAACGTTAAAGACCAAAACAAGACATAATATTCATTTTAAGACTAATTAGCATTGTATGACTAAACAGGAGTTTTAATACATCGAAAAGAAAATTCAGTCTAGACATTCATTTATTCATGTGAACCGTTTGGTCACCACTAAAGGTCAAATTAGATGTAAAATATTACCTTTCACCTCATCCATGGTGTCTGTTGAATTCGATCGAATTTGTGCTCGTGATATATATATATATATATATATATATATAATATATATATATATATATATATATATATATATATATATAATTCAAGAATAAGAAAATCGGTTAATAAGTATATTGGAACTATGTTTTATTGTCACTGTGTTGTTCATTAAAACTTGATAAACATGATGAATTATTGAATAAACAACAATTTATAATACACATTTATCGATATCAAGGGATCGTAGCTCGAAGGTTCGCAAACAAATATTTAAGGTTTCGCGTTTGATTCACCTTTACATGAAAGAAATCAAGTAGCTGATTGTGATAGAAATGCAGTTCGAAAAGAAGCTAAAGGCGGACAGAACAAGATGTGGAATCATTTCATGACTGATGTTCGTTGACATATCAGTAGGTTCAGGCTTCTTAGTTAAAGGGGAAGAAATAATTGAGGTACAGTTACTAGTATTGCTCAATACTGATGACAATGTTGAAGTTCCAATGATAATTCTTTTCTTTCTAGCTATCACCTCAAAGGTTTTCCTTCCTCGGTTTCATTTACTGATTTTGAACTGTACTATTCATGATTAGATTAATATATCAGTTGAAATTAATTTCCTTTATTTTCTTCATATCGTATTAATTTTCTTTTTCTCTATAGTAAACATATGTTACGCATGTATTATGTAGCCCTAACAACTAACAACCTCAACTGATAATGTTGTCTGATGTAGGAGCACGTTGACAGAAAGCTAAAAGAGGCACATGCACCAGTTCATGAAATCGTTGACTATTTGACTGAGCCATGTAGGCAGTTACAAACTACTTGGTTGAGGTCCATATAATTATCGTAACCAGTGGTTAGAGGCTGGGTGACATGACTCAGAATGTCACAGGTACACACAAAATATGTATTTCCTAAGAACATGAGTCTCGAAATCTTGTAATACGTTCCTTCTTTTATAATTAATTCGTTCTGGTACTACTGAGAAGCAGTTTTATCTTGCTATGCTAATATGGTATAGCAACTTGAACCAATATAAAGATGTGTCAGATTCTACACTGAGTATGACTGACTGATCGAACTGACACATACACAATGGATATGATTATACCATGAGTATAATTTTGAATAAGGTTCTCACGAATATTCAACGGAATATGTACAGTACACTATAAGTAGGTTATGGAAGAAAAATACATCAACATAAACATGGTGAAAATGCCTACTTTTTCATTACATAAAAGAACCACTTCATCATCACCGAAGTTGGGTGTTGCTTTAACAATGATTTCACTGTTGTGTGGTCGTTTTAATTTGTTGGAATATCCATTATCAGAAGCAATAGAATATTGACTATCATTCATACACGAACTATCTTGAGTTGTATCACCATCCACTTTGATTAGGTGTTCAGCTGAAAAGTAATAATATACCAAAAGTAATTCATGGTATCATTGGAGAAAAATTAAAAACAATTCAGCGAAAAAGAGTTTTCTTTTCAACGATAACATTTATTCAAGTTGGCTAGTCGCATTTATTGATAACTAACAATTAAAGTAGTCGATTAAAAAAACAGAATAACGATTATACTATATCATGCATCAAAGAAAATGCTTTAACGATTGAGAATTTGAAAAAAGATAATAAGATTAAATTAAATTCTCGATTATCAAACATTTTTTTGGCATATGTTATGATGTAGTCGTTCCTATGATTTTCAATAGGCTAGTCGAATTATCAGCATGTGGATTTGTGGAGATTGTAGTATTTTCACAGTTGAATTCATGAGTCATTAACACCGTTGGATGCCGGCTCAGTGGTCTAGAGATTAGGCGTTTGCGTGCGAGATCTTAGCTCCTGGGTTCGAGTCCCGCGTGCGGGATTGCGGATGCGTACCGCTGACAAGTCCCATACTAGGACGAAGCGGCCATCCAATGCTTGCAGGGATTCAATGATGGTCTAGCTAAGATCAACTGGTGAACTGGACTTTGAAAAGCCTACTTTATTTGTTATTTAACAATAAATACGAATATACAACGTGAGTAAATGATATCGTTGAAAAGAAAACTCTTTTTCGCTGAACTGTCTTTAGTTCTTCTTAACTAGTGATAAATTCATGATAATTGCTAATAAACAAAGAGAAATCAGAAACATTCAATATAACATGATACAGGAAAATAAAACTAGCGGATACTTTTTCAATTTATGCTGAATATGTATAATAGCCATTGAGTTAGTTAGTTTATTTATTTATTTATTTATTTATTTGAACACATAAATATTGGTACAAGAGAGCGCCAATATATATGCGCCACACAAAACAATGGGAATTCGAAGAGAAAAAAAAAAAACTAAGGAACGCAAAAGAAAAAGAGAGTAATGACGAAGAGGTACAATCAGAAGAAATCTTTCAGGTAAAGGAGACACAACCACTTTCTATGAAGAAAGTAAAAGAAGGTTACAGCAGGATCGCCACTGGCTTCTATTCTGAGCCATATCTGATAACGTCTCTAGCCACTGTGTAGCACCATCTCTCGGACCCCAGCCAGGAAGTCGTGAAGGACCAACACAAGCCAGTCCTTTGCAGCTTTCTTTCATGCCACGACACCATGTCATGCACTGACCACCTCTCCGCTTCTTCCAACCAGTCCCAGAGTCGGCAAATAATGCACGACGTGGAATTCTCTGGGACGACATTCGGAGAACATGTCCAAGCCACCGAAGTCGGTGTTTCAAGATGGTGACACCAATTGAGTTATCATCTCTGTGCCCGAACACACGATGCCGAACCTCTGCATTACTGACATGGTGTTGCCACTGAATGTCAGCAATCCTTCGGAGACAGCGATGATCGAACACAGAGAGTCGTCTAACGTCCTCAACTCGGAGAGGCCAGGTTTCACAAGCATAGAGCAAAACTGCTCTCACCGACGCGTTGTAGATCCGGCCTTTTACAGCCAGACTAACATCACGAAGGCGCCAAAGATGGCCCAGATTGGCATAAGCCGCTCTGGCTTTCACTATTCGTGCATTGATCTCATCACTCACACCCCCACCAGCACTTATGCAGCTACCCAGATACACGAACTTCTCAACTACGTCTATCTGCTCACCATCCAGGGTGAGTACAGGATTAGAATCCTGCCAGTCTTGTAGAAGTACTTTGCACTTCGAAGGTGCAAAGCACATACCATACCTACGGACACTGATTGCCAACTGATTAAGTGCGGATTGCATGCCTTGGGCATTATCGCACAGTAAGACAATATCGTCCGCATACTCAAGGTCGAGAAGTCTTTCTTTAGGCAACAGATCCACACCACCATTACTTACATTCATCAGAGCTGTTTCCAGAATGTCATCGATGGCAAAGTTGAAGAGGAATGGTGAGATTGGGCAAATCTGCCTAACCCCACTGCTCGAATGGAACAATGGAGAGAGGTGGTTGTATGCCCTCACTCTGCCTGAGGTGTTTTTATATAGGGCTTTTAGGATGTTAATAAACTTCTCAGGCACACCCTTCTTCAATAGACAATCCCAGAGAACAGTCCTATCCAACGAATCGAAGGCAGCCCTGATGTCAAGAAACACTACGACTGTTGGCCTTTGAAAAGTATGGCGGTGTTCTAACATTTGGCGGAGGGTGAAGATATGATCAATACATCCTCGACCAGAACGAAACCCAGCCTGCTCCTCGCGAGTCAATCTTTCTCGGGTTTTGAACAACCTACGAAGAATGACGGAAGCCAATAGCTTGGACGCAATCGGAAGTAAACTTATCCCCCGATAGTTGTTACAAGAACGACGTGAACCCTTTTTAAAGATAGGGACAACTATCGACTCATTCCATGACGTTGGTACACTCTCTAGTTCCCAAACCTTTGTAAACAACGTCGTCAATTCCTTAGTCAAAAAGTCACCACCATCTTTAAAAAGAGCCGGAGGTAAGTCATCTGGGCCAGGTGATTTGTAACGCTTCAAGAGTTGGAGTTCCTTGCGGACTTCCTCCTTATTTGGTGGATCAGTCGTCACCGGCCATGGAGGGCAGGACAGTCTGACCGATGTTGCCGGAGCAGCAGGCCAGTTGAACTGCCCTTCGAAAAATTCTGCCCATCGTCCAAGACGTCGATGGATGTTAGTGATTGGCATCCCATCATCCTCGCAGATTGTTTCACTCACACCAGACTTCTTGCTGCCAGTGGCTCGGATGAGCTGGAAGAGCTTCCGGCAGTTACCAGATGCAGCTGCTGCTTCCAGCTCATTAGCACGCATCGACCACCAGGCTTCTCGGTCCTTACGCAAGCTTTGGCCGATTTCCTTACGTAAAATCCTTCGTTTATGGTCAAACTCACGGTTACCCGGAGTAGACCGACGGGCTTCAATGAGTTGTAAGGAACCAGAAGAAACCCAGTGCTTAAAAGCGGGACGTTTCGCAAACCCACAACTGACTGTTCCCGCCATTTTCATGGCGTCATGCAATTGCAACCAATGCTCATCTATACTTTTCGGTGGAGTGGTAGCTAGCCTAGAGGCTAGCTCGGTTCGATACTCACTTGCAACAGAAGTTGCAACCAGCTTGCTAACATCAATCCGTTGATGGCGTTCACTTCGTTGTCCACTGAAAAGTAAGGCAAGATTGGCGCAGACCAAGGCATGGTCAGAGTCCAGATGGGTACTCCAAAAGGAGCGGCAGTCTTGTACACAACCACGCCAGCGGTAGCTGATCGCGATGTGATCAATCTGAGTCCAGGCTTGAGATGCAGAGGGAGGACGCCAGGTGGCACATCGGCGATGACTGTGCCGAAAGTTAGTGCTAGCCAGAAACAGGTTGTGGTCTGTGCACAGTTGCAGTAGACGGTCCCCGTTATCTGACCTGCGACCAACGAGTCCCCATCGACCACCTAAACGACTCTCTTCAGTGCCTAGACTCCCGACCTGAGCATTCAAGTCTCCGGCTAGTACTACAATATCTGTCGAACGCACTTTCTGGAGAAGAACTGATAACTGGTGGTAAAACTCATCCGTGATTGCATCCGGGCTGCAATCTGTCGGGGCATAGGCGGAGATGACGAAAAGACATCGTTTCTCACGCCGATTTCTTCTCACTTTGATGGAACTTTCTAATCTAACAGCACATAACCGACTGTTAATGGGGATCCAATCGACTAGTGCTGCCTCAGCTCTAGCGCTTAGTGCGACACCAACGCCAGCAAGACCAGACGAAGATGCCACAGGGTCCCCGGATAAGCGCACGTAAAACAAGCTTTTCGAAGCGACAGATGGAGATCGAATTTGTAGTACTTCGCCAGAGTCTTGAATACGGGTCTCGGATAGACAACACACGTCGATATTAAGACTTTCCAAAGACATAGCCAGCCCTATCTGTTGTCCGACCTGCATAAATGTGCGAACGTTGAAGGCAGCCAGTTTGAATGGTGCACGTGGTTTCAGAAAATCTGCTTCAGTCCTCGTATTCGGTGGTAACATACAATTTTCAACCGGACAGTGACTCGAGAACGTTTAGATACAGTCGGATTTCCACCAAAGACGAGCCGCTGTATAAGTATAAAAGAGGGTGAATAATGTGGAAAATAATAATAATAATGATCATAATAACAATAATGACAATAATAGTAGTAATAATAATATTAGTATTAATAATGACAATAATTGTAGTGATCATAATTTGAATCAATTGATTGTTTTTCAAAGCGACAAAGGTAATTTCCATGGACATAGAGTTCATCATTTGTGTGTGGGCTGTGATACTGCCCGGGTGCCCAAACCGAAGCAGGTGGTTATCTTAGGGGGCCACTCCCCGAGCCTTTGACCTAAAGGTCTAACCCACAAGGCAGTGGAGCATCGTAAGGAGATGCAGTCCCATGGTAGCCGGTGACCAACGATTGGTTCATACGCCATTCGTTCCCGCAGGATACTGGAGCCCATGTGCACCATTGGTTTGGAATCCGGTTAAAGCGCCGGACATTCGCTTTTCGTCCTCTCATTTTCGTAAACAACACCCCCGCCACGAGAAGGCAATGAGTAGGACTTCCCTGGTTAGTTAGTTACCAATGTATTATTGATTTAGTTTCATTGTGTTGATAAAATTTTAGTGATCAACTGCAAACCGACAAGAGTAGCCTAAATAACTGGACATCGTACGGAAACATTTGTATATTACATGGTTGCTAGCTTGACGTGTTGGTCAGGCTTGCCTATTGTGATGACCCAACCGAGGTAAATCAGAAAAATTGTATGAAAATTCAAATCTACCCGATTGCCATAGCTGTTACTTAACTGGTTAGTTCTGCTTTTAGTTTGTCATCTTTGCATTATATATCAAGGTCGCGTTTGTTGCTCCATAAACAGAGCTGTTTTATTATAATGTTGACTTCATTTGAGAACGTTAAAACACCCCTGAAAGAATTCTCTATCTGTGTGTGGTATTCGCGTGTGGTTTATTAACATTGAAGTATTGTAATGTACAAGTGATTAGAAGAATCTCCCAAACATTCGCAATTCGGAATGATCGTAGCCTATCACAAAACATAACAAGGGTGTATCAACAATATTGCAGAGAAAGATACTCACTATGGGTGTCAAATTTACGTCACAGTCAGAAATATTACCACTAGGCTATTCAGGAGGTGACTGACTTCTGGTGTCGTCTTTTTGGAGTTATTGGAATAGGGAGAAAACTAATTCTGAAAAAAAGTCAGCTTTCTGGAGACAAGAATAAAAAACACATAACTTTAAGACTTGATTCAAATGCCGATTTGTGCTTGGAAAGGTGTATTCACTAACTGCGTTTGAACAGAAAATAAAATCACCTTCAGTATTTAAATTTTATACATCACAATTTTACATTAGTTAGTCAATTTTTAAAAAAACATTTCACACACACAAAAATAGCATTGTACTCTTACATGTGTTTAGCGTATCAGAGGATTCTTGTAACATTGTTTGTTGTGAGACAACAGTTGGAACAGAGGTATTTGTATCTTCAGACGATTTATATTCAGTTGTAAGTGGAGAACATGGGAATTTAAGTAGTTCCAACAGCTATTTAGAGTAAAATAAAAATGAATATGCGTTGATAATTGCCGAAATCTTTAGTCATAAATATATTTACGTAACGATACCTGAAACTATGCACTAAAACACACAATGGTGATGTCAAATTTTCCTATTGAATCTCGAATACGACAGGTAAATGTCACTAGTTCGAAGTGTGTAAACATTTCAATAATCAGTTGTAGGCCAGAACTTTATACCAGAAAGTAGAAAGCTCAGTCAGTTATGTACTGTTAAACAGAATGCTGGTAGTTTTCTATACTCACAGATGATTGTTTGTTAAGACCATCTATGTATTAATAATGAGAATATAGAAGAGATAAACAAGTCTCCATTGAGAACATTTAAACACTGAAACAAATTTGCCGTAATAACTGGTTTAACAGTCATACAACGTTAGACTGAATATTTTACAGTTTACTAATATCCATCATCAACTTATTTGCTTCTCAGTTTTTGTACTCAAACAGTTTTTTCTATTAAACAATCCAAAAATATTACACTTGAGTTCATATCCATACATATGTTATATAGTCACACAATAACAATACAGACAAAACAACAATGCAATAACGCAGGAGAGATAACTCTGATCATTAAGCTTTTCATCGAATCCCAGTGTTACACATCCAACTACTTTTTGCTTTAATACTAGCTAGGTTCTTATTCATTAGATGAATGAGTACCTAAAAAGTTAGTTCTGTTCAATTGTTTAAAACGTCTAAGCATGTGGATTTTGAGATATTTTGAATATAGATATGTTATTTTGTTTGTCGTCTGATTTCACTTCAATTGGAGAGTCACGCCAATGATTTTGTCACATGAACAATTAACACTTCAGTATGTTAGACAGACATCAACAACATAGAACCTGTTAAAGATGTGGGTTAATCCAAGTTTCCAGACTACATTGCTATGAGATTCAAATAACAAAAGAGATAGAAATAAGGTAGCAATAATGATAAAAGGAAAGATTAAATTTTGGAAATATAGTTTGGAAAGACTGTGAAAGTAAATATCAAGCAATACTACAATTTAAGATTGAGTGGATTATAAAGAATGAACGTATCTGAACGATTTTAAGTCATGTCAAAAAAAGTATCCAACCACTGATTGTGGTTATCAAGCGACACCCTGACTGATTAATCTTCATTTATCAACATGGCTCAGACCAATCACTTCATGATCTGATGTAACATACCATTCTCCTCCATTGAAAGAATACTATAGAAATTATTGACATGAACAACTAATCATGATAATGAAATCAATCCGATAGATGTTTATGGTTTGTAATCAAACTCAATCAGCCATCGAAAACAACTTAACCGAAGAATAATTATATCCCGGCTAGTGACCAGTTTAATTATCAATTTCCAGACTTCTAATATCAAATTATAGACTGATGCACAATTCACAACTATGTTGATAGTTATTCAACTATTGACATTGGATAAAATAATTATTAAGATATATCACAAATTAAGTGAAGTTGGATACATAGATCATTAGATATTCGAGTTAGTTATTCCAAGGTAAGGTCCTGTCTTCTAACTAATATGAATTTTCTATTGTTAGGTACTGCCTAGTAGTTCCAAACGGAAACGAACCATCTGTTCAGTTCTCTATAGTTTTCTAGTTGTAATCGTTATCCACCGTCCATTAGCCCCTACGCAAAAGATCTTCAATCAGTGCATATGTCATACGCAGATTCAAACAAAAGAAGAACGGAGCGATTAGCTTTAAAAAGATAAAACCATAAACATGACTTCAAAATAAACACACACACACATCAATTACCTTCATAAGTAATAAATGATTAGGATCAAGAAATTTATCCTTGAATTGTTTGTTTTCCGAAGTCTCATTCATTTCCTAGACATAATATGAAACACAAACACACAGAATAAAAAAACAGTGATGAGGAGAGGTCAATTATTATAATGAATAATTCCGAACTATCTAAAACATTAAAGTATTCATCAGTTGTACAAGCCAAAAGGTTAAACAAACAAACGATAACCTGTCATTTTGTAGACTGACGCGTAAACAAATAGTGAAAATATAAAGCACTTAAAAAACTGACAACAATGAAGAAATAAACAAAAGAACTACCCCACTCTTCATCACGAAAACAAAACAGTAAATTAGTCTGAGCACGTTTCTATCGAAATATGAAATTTATAGTCATAAGAATAGAAATTTTTATACATAAAAAGTAGTCCGTTTTACAATCATGTTGGTAAGATGCGTAAACATGTTTTCATAATCTATTTATATTTACAATGAGCACACACATGCATTTCATTACAAGTGGATAAAGAGTACTAGTAACGTCAGAATATGATCCAACAACACTTTTTAAAATACGCTAAGTGATTTACAAACTCAATATTTCACATTTTATATGATCCAAAACAATAAGGTAGTATTATTTAAAATTTAACGGATATGAAGTTCGTTACAAACACGTTTAGACTTTGACCTAAGTGGTTCAATAGGTTATGGATTTATGAAGCGTTTTTTTTTGTCTAACAGGATATCATTGTTAGATGATGTTTAAGCAAACTACATTCTTCAGTTATTAGTATAGCTACGACAAGGATGAACAGTAGTGATGACAGTAGGTACACAATTATGATAACTTATACTTAGAGAAGTCATACTTGCAACCAAATAAATTGTAGATTAAATCTGTTTCGATTACTGCAGTTCAAATAACTACTGGGTAGCGTTCTAGTCCTCTATACTAATACAACTGAATAATCAATTATATATACATATCCTCCGTTAACTACCCAGAAAGAATTAGGTTCGGTTGATTTTGTATTCATTGTCAAATAGTTCGAAAGACGAAAAACGGGCTACACCAATACAACTAAAACACAAACAGATGACGTGAACGAAAGTTAACAGGAAATCAACATAGTCCCGATGACAGTTATTCCTCATTTGTGAAACAATCTGGGTGTATCAAATCATAACTACAGTTTGACTGAGAAGCCGCATTCAAGTAAGAACTAAAAAGTAGTTTTTATGAAACATTGATTAGTTGTTGACAGTGTAGCAGAGGCTTATTGCTTGTGAAATACAACTTCTAACAACTAACAGGTGATAAGTTCGAATTCATGTATCATCTATTTCGGATTAGACGATCAGATAGTGTAATAACATTAGGATTTACACTTATTAAATTATGGTTCAAAACAAACAACAAAAATCTGTACTTGACAAACGAATCACACAACAATAATAATGACTAGAAATTACAACTTCTGCATATAGATGATATAATTGCTAGTTTTATTAATAAATAGTAGTTCTGACACTTAAGTAAGGCCTCAGTAACTATTTTACAGTCTATATTTCTGCGTTGAACATTACTGTTATCTTAAAGATTGTCGTTTTTTTAAGCTTGTTACTTTTGCTGTGTTCCAATGTCGTATTTGTTGATATATGTGGAAAATTGTTCTATGACTATTTGAACTTCTCTGAGTATCAAGCTTTTTAGTGAGCTGGTGAATTTTTTTTTCAGTCATGTAAGAAATTATTAGCTAAAGTACTCTATATGTTAGTTGTCCTATTCATCTAGTTCACATAGATTCTAGACGTATCGAGAAAAAAAGTTTCTCAATTGTTCGTAATTTAAAATGAGCTTAGTTGACGATCAAAACAGGACATTAACTGATAAACATTTAATTATCAGAAGGGGTTTTGTGGAGATTTTTAGAAATTTCACTGGTTGAAATCATGAGTCAATTAAAGCTAGACCACCATGGAAAACCTGGGAGCACTGGACGGCCATTTCATCCTTGTATGGGACTCGTCAGCATTGTGCATCCAGTCTATACTAGGAGGGAACGGCCGTCCAGTGCTTCCAGGTTTTCCATGTTGGTCTAGCTTCAATTGACTCATGATTTCAACTAGTGAAACATTTAATTATTAAATTAGAATCGTGAAGTTTCCCAAACTAAAAATTCTATATTATTCTAATATAGAGCCCATGAAACATATTGGTATCAAATATAAAGTAACAATCTAATTGTTGGACACTTTATCCAGTCTGACAAAAATAGATATAGGCTTATGTATTCGGATAACTAAGGTCATGACCGCGAGACATATAGACAATTGGAAAGAAAATAGAAAAAAGAGAAGTAACAGTTGATGGAATAGAAAATAAAATAAATAGTAACGACAGAAATAACAGCAACAACAACAACTGAGAAGTGAATCATCATCCGTATTCGTATCTACTGAAACAGCGACAACAGCGTCAGTGAGTAATCAACTACTAGTCAACAAATTAATAATAAATAAACAAACACATATCAAACAGCATGCACAAACACATACAGATATACAAAATTGTCAGACAAACAAGTCTAGAAATTTGTTTAGTCCAACTAACAAAGCAAGTTCAATATACACAGTTAGTTGAATAATGTTCTCGCTTCTCTCTCACATTTTTATTCTATTTTCTTCGTTTATACTTTCGTCTATTCTTATCGGTACATATTTATTGTCTATTCATCAATTTTCAGTGTTGCACTTGTTGTCCATAAATAAATAAACAAGGTCAGACTAATCTCTACAGCACAAAATGGTGTCTTATATGCTAAGAAGGAAAACCGGAACACTGAACAGACATTAAATGCATAGATAATGTATGCAGTAGTTTTTAACAATGAAGTTGTATATTATCATATAGACAGAGATAGACTGTTATGTCCAAAAAATGGACTAAAATTGAAACAAAGTGTTTTGTAAACAAAATATTGTACTACTCAAATAAACAACAAGTAGATTAGATCAGCTAACATATTATAAGGTGAACGGTTTTGTACCTAATTCAGAATTTTTTTTATTTACGATAATAATTACATATATGACATGGTATTTCCTTTGAAATGTAGTATAAGCCTATTAGAGTTGACATCTTAAATTAATTCATATTAGAAAGTGAAGGTATCATCATGGGTATATGGTTTGAATAATAGATTTGCTTGAAATAATGCTATTTGATCAAGGTAGAGTTCGTTTAAGAAACGACAGATAAACGATGTGAGCACAAGATTTTAAAGGGACATCAATCACACATAGAATATCACCTAATTATGGGTTTATCGTTTAGCAACAGGAAAATAAAACAACCACAAAAACATATACATTGGATTGATTTGAAACGGTTTGCACTTTCCTATTATATATGTTAAAGATAAGAATTAATCGTTCACTATTGACTTGTAGGCATCCTAACCAGATTGCCCTGATACTGGCATTCGGTCATAATTCTTCAATATAGTTCGATGGTAATGAAACTTAGGAAGTGCGATTCTCCCTGTTTAAAACTTGTCAGTTGGATATGCCTACACACTAATGACTGTGCTTCTGTTGAAACTCGAGCTCATCGCTTTTCATCTCAAAAGCCAAAATGCTATTCCTTGAGCTATATAGCCACTATCTTATAGATAAAACACTGGTATTTGATGCGAAAAATACTGTTTGAGTTTCACTGTGAAATTTAGCACTGCAATCTGACAAATTCTGGACAGCATGAAAAATGTGTCCTATATTCTACTGCTAATCACTATTAAATTCTAACGAGTATATATATAATGATAACAACTAGATTGATCAGAATAAATATCAAAACTTGATTCATTTATTGTTGTAAATCCCTATAATTCAGTAATATTACTCTTAGTAGAAATCAGAACAACAAATGCATTATTTCAGTTAGTCAGTGTCTTAACAACTCTCAAAGAAATATCAAACCGTTTTTCGTGGAAAACTAATAATCGGTCGAAAACATAACAAAAAAATGAAATTTTCATAAATCTCCAGAAGTGATCATAATTAAAATAACAACTACTGGAAACTATCATTATGGGGTTGTGAAGATTGTTAAATCTCATTGAAATCATGAACCGATCAATGTTAGATTACCACTGAAAATCTGGAAGCACTGGATGGTCGCACAATATCACAGGTTAATTGAAGTTAGACAGTAACACTGCTGAATGCCTCTCAGTGGTCTACAGAATGAACATTCACGTACATTACCCAACATCTTAGATTTGTTGCAGGGGGCGGAGTCGTGAGTAGAAACTGCTGATGAGTCTTATACTAGGACGAGTCAGCCAAAGTGTAGCTCTCAACTTAATCCAGAGGATCCTATGAACATTGTTGGATTTGAAGTCTCACATATCATAGACTGACTTTAGTTAGGTAACCACTAAAATCAGGTAGCACTCACTGGACACCCATTACATCAGAGTATCAGTTCGATCTCCAGTGAGGCTGTGGTTGGGTATTGTTAAAGGACCCTTTACCAGGACGAAACAATTACCCAACGATTATTAATTTCCAATAGTTGCTTAATTATAGGGTCAGTTCGCTGAATTTATATAGTTAATGAGTTGTATTGAATCAAGACAGAGTAGATAAAACTCGAAAATCACACCAATTACCTGTTGTTCATTAACTTTAACTCCCGCTAGACAATGATTCGGTAGTAAGGCTGATGCCAACATTGAAGATTTCCCTGAAAAAAAAACCATGAAATACAACTTTTTTCTCCATATGTTGGTGTTACAAAAAAAAACGTACAACTCAGTGATTGTTGTAACCGTGACAGTACCATAATATTTGGAACTGGCAACTACTGCAATTACCACGGCACAAATATGAACACGTAAACTAAGTACACAAGATTTATTTCACCCTTCAAAACATGTCGACAGTACTGTAAGAAAATATATTTAAAATATCGTAAAACCGAACAGTTCCCTCAAAGATTTAATTACAGCTAGAAAAAAATCAACTTCGTATACCAATCTCATTGCAACCAAGTAAGTCTGTGCTCATTATATCCGTGATGAAAAATGTAACTGATTATGAAAGTACAGCCTAGAAAAATAATTCGTTATGCAATAGTCCACTACAAAAAAAACTCCTGAGTCTGATAAAAAGAAACAGTGTGATTATAATTGAGCAACCGTTTAACACTAAGAATTCAACCGACTTGGAAACCATTAATTTGTAAGTTCTAATTCTAGTCCCGATATAATGGGGCAAGAATTCAAAACAGATATTTTGGGACTAATTCTATTAGAGAGTGAATGACCTATAGTTGTCATATCTTTCTATTATTTATTTCTAAAATGATTTATATCTATTATTGTGTCCAATATTTTGTATGGGACCGTGTACTTGTCTTGTCTTTTCATTTAAGTTCAATTGCGGACTGACGTCAATAATTCAGTCTAACGAACAGTTATCACTCAGTCATACTGCATTATTGTATTTCAGTTATCGATTTGAGTTGGCTTCATTCATGTTGATACATGAAAACCCATTCATTAAATCATCAATTCCTAACTCATAACAACTCCAACTACTTCCGTCTGCTTAGTCAGATAAAATGTAGCTCGACGCTCATTTATCAAGTACAGATTAGTGTACATTATTTCAAACCACACTATGAGTGTAAGGACTTGTAATACTACTCATTTGTAGAGGAGTTCAAACCCACGACTTAGGCAGTTAGGAGTGGGACACCTAAACTATTAATCTATCATACCACATAAACCATACACGTTAGAAAACAGCAGTAACTTACTATTAGTTGATAACTCTATACAAGTGACATCACTATAATCTGGACTGTTTACAAGTAAATGAATTTCACGAGAATAATCATGAGGCAAAGCATATTTTAAGTTTTGCGGAGTTAGTATATTTACAGATGATCGTTTGTCATTTTCTTGTTGTAAATTTGGTTGTGTAGAAGATAATCCTGGCTCTTCAGAAGTGAGAGGCTGTTATGCAACAATAAAAAGAAAAAAAATTATTTCACAAAATGAAATAAATTCTATGCATATACTAGTTATACATTTCTTGAAAAGAGTCAGTCAGTCAGCTGCTTAAGAACGTCAACATATGGAACGAAGATATCTAGAGATCGTTTAAAGATCCCCGTCATATTAAAAGACTAGTATTTGAACGAAGAATATTCTTTTCGATAAATTCTCTTCAGGTTCTACAGCTATATATCCAAATTAATAATCCGAAAAAATGGCCAGGTTAAGGGCAAAATACATCCTCAAAGTACAATCCTCAATTCACATGCTTTAAACGATGTACTTTGCCCTTAACCTGGTTATTTGTCGAATTATTAATTTGGATATATAATTGTAGAACCTGAAGAGAATTTATCGAAAAGAATATTCTTCGTTCAAATATCTAGAGATTTTAAGAAACTCGTTTAAATGTTTTACTCACACCAATGTAGATGAGATAATTTTCTTCACCGAAGACAGAAGTGAATAATGACTTGACATACACAATGCATAATTCAGTGTCATCACAATTTGAGGAATTTCACAATCATATCAAATAACTAATCCTTTCTAAATATTGTTTGGTGATGCTCATACGCTCATTTAAGCTACTCAACGACATTAATACATGAAAAATATTTATCACAGAATATCAACTAGTATTAACAGCCCATATTTCACAAATGTCCAGTAGTTAGGAATCCTTCAAGAAATAAATGACAATTTTTTAAACGAGAGGTTATGTAATGTGAATTCGCACATATGGGGAAGTAATTCTTCCATTCCCTTGCTTCAAACACTCATTTCCTAATAATGTATTGATAGTAATGTAATACAGTTTGGAAATTTATGGTCTAATGTATACTTTGCTACACATTAATTAATTCTATACAAATTAAGAAAATCTCCAAACTATTTCTATCTCATAACATAAAAACATAAGTGGTTAGTCAGGAAATGAGATCCACTAACGCGATTGTTAATGTTTGGTCTCAGAATAAAAAGGAGTTTTCTACTGATGATTTTCAATGCTGGCTCAGTGGCCTACAAAATAAACATCCACTCATGAAACCGAAGGTATTGTGTTCGATTCCCGAATGTGAAGTCATGGATGCACACTATCAAGACGTCTCATACTAAGACGAACCGGTTGTTTAGTGCTTCCTCGGTTTTAAATAATGATTTAGTTAAGATCAGTTAGTGATTTAAATTATTAAAGATCATGGTATAGTTTATTTTTGTTGAAAGAAAAAGTTATCTTTCTGCATAAATAATTAACTCAATCAATTAATTAGTTAAATCTTATAATTACAATCTTTGTTACTTTGGCTAGGGTTAAAATAATACTGATAAAAAAGTATTTATGGGCTCATGTGACGCTGGATATATAAATATATACGTCTGACCTACATATTATTATTATTATTATTATTATTATTATTATCATTAAGTGTTGATTTGTACTTTTGACGTCACGCATAAGTCTGATTCATTATAATAAATAAACTACGTGTACTTTTAATGGTAAATTTAGATCATAGTTACAACTTTCTTTTGAGACATATAATTCAAGGATGAGGAGAAGACTATTATATTTTTTGTTATTTGAACTGAACAGGCATCGAATTTAGCATGTTTTTTTTTATAAAAGAACCAAAAATCTCAAGGTTATAGACAATTTTATAGATAAATACATTTTTCCTATGTATTAGAAATAAGGCTTCTTCCGAACTTTCCGTTTTTTTTTATATTTTCTGTTCCAAGTTCAAGAGAAGATTTCTAAGTATTAGGAAACGATTACGAAGTCACTTTCCAAGATTTCACTTACAAAATGTATTATAAATCAGTAACTCAGTCAGTCAGTCAGCTACAACGTAGGACCAGGCACATTTATGCATCGGTCCAAGTTGCCATACAAAATCAATAACTGAACAGAACTGGTCTGAAATACATGCTAACCATAATGTTTATCAGTAATAGTTCAATTAATTTTTATAAAAATGAACTAGGAGTTACTTTTTAGAGCCTATAGATGTGTCACTTGTTGATAACAAAACAGTCAACCAGTAATGAACATTGTAATATCTAGAACACGTGTACAACAGTTCAATTGGCTACACTTCATTCGCATAGTAAGATACAGTTGTCAAAGGAAATACTAGGAAAGTACATGTAATAAGTTTCAGTGGTGATTCATTTTTGTATTGGTTCTTTGAATTTTTCCATTGATGTTTAGGATTGTAACTAATCAGTCTCTTATTGGGATATGTGGATCCTGCGCTGATTGCCTCAATATTGTCTTCAGTCACAACCATTATAAGCAAAGATGGATGGTGGCTAGCAGTGGAATCTAAGACGCGCGTTTCGTCCTATCTGGGACTCGTCAGCTGGATATACCAACATCCCAGAGTTGGTGTTCGCTCCGGGACTCGAACCCAGTACCATTCGCTTCGAACGTTATCACGATATCCACTTAGCTACTGAGTCTAAACAGCAAAAATGAATTAAGACCTCACCCCATTGCACAGGCTAAGTAGATAACGTGATGGTGTTTGAAGTGAATGGTACTGCGTTCGATTCCCGGAGTAAACACCAACTCTGGGATGCTGGTATATCCAGCTGACGAGTCCCAAATAGGACGAAACGCGCGTCTTGGATTCCACTGCTAGCCACCATCCATCTCTGCTTGGGATTAGTGGTGGTTACGATTCGAGAAGATACGGATTAGTGGAATAAGAAAACCTATAGGGTAATTTAGAAACTAGGGATCTAAGAGAAAACAAAGAGCGAATGCATCTGAATTATCGCGAACAATTCTGAGCCATATCATCCAAAGTCCCTAATAATTGATTACGATAATCACGTATACGACAATCAAGTAATCTGCACCTGCCTATATGGTTTAATTCAACAGTTAGAGTTTTCATGGACTGATACCATATTTTAGTATAGCCAATCCTAGCTGTCTTCAAACCTACTTCTATACTAGACATCTTCTCCCAACCTACTGCTCAGTCAACTAGAATTTCTCGTCGAGCTATTCGGTGGATGAGCATACGTAATACATGTCCTTACCATTTGAGTCGGTAAATAATTACTATAACATTAATCGATTTGCCAAGATAAGACAAATGGTAACTGTTAAAATTCATCTAACATCATCTAGAAAAAAAATAGCCTAGAAACCAAGAAAATGTTTAAAATATTTAATTTAATTAATCAACATTTATAAAAATTTCAAATTTATTATTAATTCTATTATTTTCTTTATCAACTCTTAGATCACTCTTAAACCGATGAAATATCCTTCGCTTTTGGTTTTCATTCGATGAAGATCGTCCAAGACTAAGAATTAACTAAGCAGTAAGCAGTTAAAATTTTCGACGGACTGAACATATTAGTTACTATTATAACTTAAATGATTTTTTTAAAATGAAGCATTAAAAACTAAAGTAGAATGATATGTCTGAGAATGTCGTCTAGGAAATATTATCAGTCATAGTTAAGATCCAACATAAAAAAGTTAGATATGCACATCATTAGATGCTAGCTCGGTGTGGTCTGCAGACTGAGTATCCAAGTACGAGACCGAAAGTCTTGAATATGATTCATAAATGTGAGGCCGTGGATGGATACTGTTAGGGAGTCTCATACAAGAACGAAACAGTCGTCCAAAGCGTCTAGGTTTTCAAGGATTGTCTGGTTAAGATCACTTCGTGATTTGAACTATGAAAAGTCTACAGTCTTCACAAGTGCCTCTATACTAATAATAAAGAAATGTAATTTTTGCTTCAACTTACTAAATCTGTAACAGGCAAATTTCTTGCATCCACTATGATCTTGTGCAAATCGTGAACATATTTACGCACCAGTGGAGGAATGGGATTACAACATGCAAATATACCAGAGCTTTCACGTGGTAATACTTCAGCAATTACTTTTAACATATGATTTGGTAGGACATAACTGTGAAGAGATCAATGTATATACGGAAATTAATACTCAGAACAATAATCATGATAACAACAATAAAGTTTTTATCATTATTCAACAATTATAGCATATCGACAGTAACAGAAACCGTAGTGGGTGTTGCTAGAATCAATGTACTGTACTGTGATGTTTACTGGTAATATTTATTTATTATTTATTTTAACACACAGATATTGGTACAACGAGGCACCAAATACATATGCGCCACACAAATCTCATTTGATATGTGTGAGGGCTATGATGCCATTCAGGTGCCCAAACCGAAGGTGTTTTTCTTGGGGGGTCACACCCGGAGCCTTCGACATGAAGGTCTGATCCACAAGGCAGTGGAGCAACGTAAGGAAATGCAGTCCCATGGTAGCCGGTGACCAACAATTGGTTCATACGCCATTTGGTCCCTCAGGATCCTGGAGCCCATGTGCACCATTGGTTTGGAATCAGGGTTTTCCAACTCCCCTAGGTGGACTCTCCATGTCGACCAACTCGGTTAAAGCGCCGGACATTCACTTTTCGTCCTCTCAACTTCGTAAACAACACCCCCGCCACGAGAAGGCAGTGAGTAGGACTTCTCTGGCAGAGGCTATATACGCGTGGCCATGTGAGAGCATTTGGAGAGGAAGAGCGGACTCTCCCCACTCTTGGTCGTACCAGGGCATTTGAGGGCCAGGTAAAGGAGTTGGTTGGAAGAAAGCTGGATGAAACAAATCAAGAGATAGTGTCAGTTAGTGAGGTAAATGATTGTTCGTTTAAGTTGTGATGGTAAAGTGAAATCCATGTTAAACTTGTGAACAACGGTTAGAGATGGTAGGTGATATGGTTCCGAAGCAATTACCAACTCTTCTCTTAGGTATTGAGTTTTAAAATTGTTTCATACTATTTTTGTTCCACGAACTCATTCTTTCCACTTGAATAATATTGTCTATGTTCAATATTTCCTACTACTACTATTGATATTATTACTATTACTACTACTCTAACACTTGTTTTGACAATTTTATCTAGCTGTGTTGATGTGGTGTGACAACTTGAACCGATTCACATATGCTGAGGTTCTATGTTAGATGAATAACTTGCAGAGATCCTCTCCATTTAAAATTGGTTCGTATTACAAACTGGCATCAGTCGTAGTAACACTGACAATTATACAACTGATTTAGGATAGTAAAAAAGGGAAAGTAGGTACCCATTCATGTTAATAGATAACAATCACACAAAACTAAACTAATCCGTGTGAGACCATTTTCGATGCTGTAGGTCTACATTCATTGGATGAATTAAAAAAGTATGAAAAAGCTGACCAGGACGCATCTTAGTTTTCAACGGTTTTCCTCTGCATACTAAATTAGTTAATGATAAATTTATCAGTGCATGGTTACGGAAACTGTTGAATCATAATGACATCATGAATTGGTCAAAGTTAGACAACCATTAGGGTACATGGAGGCATTGGATGACCGTTTTGTCACAATGTGAGACTTCTCGGCAGTATGAAACAGCCGTCTAGAGCTTCCAGGTTTTTTCACAGGTTGTCTAATTTCGATCGATTAGTGATATAAATATGAATATATATTAATTTGGAAAGCCAACATTGAAACTATATAGTTTTTATACTTAAAAGAGGTTTCACAATTGGAAATACAGTTTGTGAAGAAACGATTAGAAACTATGAGCAATAAAAACAACGATAGATCGATATGATGAAGTAAAGCGAGCCATATATCTCCTAGAAAAGTTCCCTTGTCATTATGGTTAAAGTTATCAACAGTAAATATAGGGTAAAAGCACAGTATAGGAACGAAGCGATCAGAATCGAGAAAGCGACCTTTAGGTTTCTGTGTAAAATTCAAATATCATGTGTCATATGGATTAGTAATATCCTCATACAGTGGTCAGAATGCTTAAAATAAAAAGGGAAAATCATTCTTTATCATCAAACGCTAAAAATAATAATATTAAATGTACCGAATGACTAAATCATTTTCTGGAGATAGCATATAACAGGCAAATAGATACTACTTCTAAAAGCTTAATCCTGAAGTAAACGTTAACTTGTTAGCACTGTATTTTGTAAACGAAATAATCAGATAGGGGCTTTTGGATTTCCGTGTAACATTCATTCATTCATGTGACTAGATTGGACTTCTGATTATAGTTGATGTCAGTTCGTGATGAAAATCCTAACTCTAAACCCTTGATCATTACCCTGAATACAAACCTTGACTGTGAACAGTGTAAAAACTTAAAAACCTATCTGGCTAATTTTGAGAGTTAGAGAAGACGAACCTACATTCGTAAAAACGAATTTATATGTCATTGTTTTTTCTCTAATTTACAGCTGGAGTAACCAGTAGAAGACTCTAATGAATTCATTAAGTACCTAAAAACTATCTAAACTTTGCAATACGATTGTTCTTTTTTCTATGAACTAGCCATTTACAAAGGGTGTTTCTGATTGGTTAGCAGGCCGGCAATTCATCGTGGTTGTTTTAAGCTCATCCCCAAACTTAGTTTTGAGACTGCTAATAAAGATACATTTCTATAATCAGTAAAAGTACGTTTCATTCAAAACTCCAAAGGTTTTAATCTCGATGATTTAATCTAACTGATTAAATTCAAGTGAATGTACTTAATATCGAATCACACAGTCATATTAACGAGGAGATAGTGGTACACAGATTTGTAACCATGATTCATAAATTTAATGGATAGTGTTTGAATGACTTATATGTTGCTAATTAATTCCAAATCACAACACGTGATATTGTTCACAATTTTACGCGTCAAAAAAGCTCAAAACAAATAAAAACACACAGTAAAATTTTGAACCAATCTAAGTTAGACCACAATTGAAAATCTAGAAAGACTGGACGACCGTTGGATACCGGATCAGTGGTTAAGAGTCTAAGCGTTTACGGACCAGACCGAAGGTCTTGGGTTTGATCCTAGACACGTACTGCTAAAGAATTCCTTACTAGGACGAAACGGCCGTCTAGTGCCTCCAGGTTTTCAATGGTGGTCTAACTTCGATTGGTTCAGGATTTCAATAAAATTCAACAAACTCCACAACCCTAAACTTGTAAAAACATCTTAAATTTTGATGCTTTTCATATGACTAGATAAACAACGAAGAAAGTTTGCGAACAAAACAAATCAAATACATTATTTTGTAAGTAGTATTCAGAGTCACAAATTAATTTTATTTAGAGTAACATTAAAAACCAAGGAACACTACTCAACAATTGTTTCTTCCTAGTATTAGACTCTTTTACAGCGTGAGAATTAAACCAATCTAAACAATAACCCATCAGAATAAAATGTTATATTTCCTGAACTAAAAACCAGAGAAATTACTTCAATTGAGAAAAAAAACGAATACCCAAAAAATAAAACAAAATACTACTAATAATAATACTTACTGGAGACTTTCATCTTCTCGTCTAGCTATCGAATCACGTAAAGCATAAAGATTTTCTAAAGCATATAATTGACGATGACTGAAACTACTACTTCCAGTTTGTCTATAAAGATCCAAATAACCGAGTCTATTGAATACAGGTTTCGTATAACACTACATGGAAATGATACATATATGTACATACAACAATGGTGAAAAGTTTGAATAATGTACAATAAACGATAGGGAAATAATGCATTTCATAGAAATAAAAAAGGTTAACTTAAGATATAGCAATTTAAATCAGTCAATCAAACATAAACAATGCAGAATCTGACATCGACATGAGTTGGTTCAAATTGCCACATTATAACAGTACAGTACATGGAAATTAAATTATCAAGACAAATACCAGAGTAGCAGAAGTAGTAACAATATCAATGGTACTAGAAATGACCAAACATAGACAATATGATATGATAAAAAAAGTGAATATGAAGAATGAAGAATATAAGTATTTCCAAACAAAAATTGAATGTATTTGAGACATTGTGACCGATTATAAACCACTCCAAATCTTGAACTAATGGTTACGATAATTGTGAAGATCACAACCAAGCAGTCAGTATCTATCAATAAGACTCAGTTCAATAGTTAATGACTCTATGAACTGATATTATGTCTTGCTTTTGTTCAACCTACTGTTACGTCAGTGAACATCCAACACCAATGTAGATGGTAGTTGGACATAAGTAATAATTTCTTTTAAATGGATACTTCTTACGAGTGTGTTATCCTAGAGGATTTTACATAGTACATTATTTGCCAACATTGGCACTGGTTGGAAAAAAACGGAGAAGTGGTTGATTTACTATTTGACATCGTGATATGAAACAGAACTATATAGAATTGATATCTATCGACCTATTAGCACTATCGGGTTGAAGTCTTGAAGATGGTAAAACTAAGCTGTACGAGATACTATCCAACAAGGCTCATTAACGAAACCAGTAGCGATCGTATACATTCTCACAAATTATTCACTAAAGTTGACGGGAAAGAAGTCTTCATGATTGTATTTTTAACTGATCCGGATCTTCTATTATAAAATATGCTTGTTCAGTCCTTTCTTTATTTCTGCACAATGCATACCTATTTGTTTGCATGACATAGTTGGTGGCCAGTTACTACTCAATAAATAAAATAAAATGAAAATGATCATACCATCTTCTCTCAGGACCTAAAATGTGACGAAAATTTTCTCATTTCTTTTCAATTCGCTGTTCTTTTTTCCGATTGTTCTTCGCTATCGATTATCACTAAATTTCGCTTTGGATTCTTTCTTACAGTGAGACCACTTGGATGAACGAAAAGATGTATAAGATTCAAGGTGTTCAGGAGTTCAACAAATACCAGACAAACTTTTGATGTTGTTTAAACTTTATGCATTTATTTATGTTTGTTGAATAGTTTAACCAATTACTGGAATTGAATTATCTCCTTTTTTTAAAACAAGTCATATTATATTCTACAACTTACTTTAAGGCATAATTGTCTTGCTCGTTCAATAGTAACTGGCAATAGATCTCTATCTTGTAATTCTCGACACATACGACTTGCAATATGTAATAGGTAATGTGTATCTGTTCGTGCATATTCGATCAATTCATTCGGCAGGGGTCTGGTACAAAACAAATATAGATATAAATACACAGATAACTGTGAGAAATAAGCATAGGTATAAGTTACAATACTAATTAACATAAATGAAAAGTAGCATAATTTTTAGTAAAAATACAAATAATATGTTGACACAGAGCATTAAATTTAATTTTTAATGGTTTAAATTATCTCATACAATTATTTGTGACCGGATTTTGATCAGTCTCGGTTGGTATATGTGCATCCAGTACGGATTGCCTTGATATAAATATTTTGACACACGTTCATACAATAGATGAATTGTGACTAACAGTGGGATACAGAATGCGAGTTTCACCCAATTAGGGGATCGTTGGTTGGATCTACATGGATCTCAGTAATGATTTTCACATCATGACTCTAACCCAGTACCTATCAGGTATATCAAAACAATTTGTACATGATGCATATATCCAAAAAAGACTAATCATAACAGTGATTTATATACTGTGTTTGAAAGCGGGGGACAGCAAATCCTAAACCTAAGTTTTGTTCTCGTTGGCGCTTGTCAGTAGGGTGTTCCTGTTATTTTGAGAGAACTATTCATTCTTATAAGACGTAAACATGCATCACTCACCTTCATAGTCTGAAACGCTAACACTGAGCTATCGACGCCGAAAATGGCTTTCGTTAAGACTGAGGTATCTACGATTGATTGATCAGCAAATAATGGCCACTGTTATGTCTGCCTAGTCCATATGTGCTGACCGGATTTCATCGACCAATGAATGAGAGAAGATAAATCTATCGGTATGCTAAACTAACCGGAAATTACCTAAGCTTTACAGAATCAGCTGTCAGTTATAAATAGCGTAGGACGTGGTTCAAATATGTATCAGCCTAAGTTCCCACACGACATTAGCACAGAAAAGTAGAATTAAGATGAACAGCAAAAGAAAATGTAATCATAGCAACAATAGTACTAGGAAAGATCAAACAAGAAGAGTATGTTCAGAGAAGAAATACTGAAATAAAATACGAAGTATGAAATTGTGTTAAAACTGAAAATCTAGAGGGGTATAAAAAATGTATTTGCAGCACTACAACCTACTCTAAGCCACATTACCCAACCTTTCCAGTCACCAATTGTAACTATCATGCCGACTATACCCAGGGAATCTGCGTCATCTAACACAGTTCAGCTCAATAGTCAAAATGATAAAGGGAACTATGTGTATGAAATAACCTCACGAGTTGATCCCATCGTTTCTAGCTTTCTTCCAACAAAGTTAAATGCCAGTCAGTAAAGAACAGTTAAGTGTACATAAATCATGACCTAGTCACCTTAGTCGACAAAGATTTATAGTCCCACCGACTATTTTTCTATGTTTAACGAGTATCCTACATCTAAGAACTGCTCATTCTAAAATACACGAGTAACACTCCGAAGATGTCTATAATCAAGTGTTAGCAACGTACGAGTCCTTTTCTTTCAAAAGACAAGTTCCATAATGTTATAACTCTCTCTTCTATTACAACCCAGCTATTCCTATTGCTTAGTATTCTCGGACAACGACTCACTCGACAAGTCCCCCAAATCAGAACACGGTTGAACAGGAAAGAGAGATCTTATTTCAAATAACAAGCTTAGATGGAAGTAAGTAGTGCAATAGGGAAGACGTTAGTATATTTATAGTTTTTTCACACGAGATTTCTAGTGTTCACTAAGTATTGGCTAACGCTGATTGGATAAGAATGAGCCAATCAGCGTGCGGCAACGCAAGCGTGCATTGAGCATGATTTAATCCAATCTATGTCCCGCTAACACACAATCATAAAGTAACATAGAGCACACTGTCGCATAATATGCTCCCGCCCCCAAACAAAATTTCCAAAAAGGATACCTTGCCTACAACATTTTTATATGAATCCACAAAGTGTCATTTTAGCGTAAAAAGGTTTTTAAAGAAGACTACATTTGAAGTACAGATGGAACGAGAGAACAAGCAAAAAAGAAAAAGGGATTTCAAACTTTACACATAAGAATAGTGGCATTTACTGCGTTTCACTAAGCTCTTTACAGTAGTATGACATTATTATTCAAAGCAATTTACAAATATTGCAAAACAACAATAAAATTGTCAGTGAGATATTGCGGAGATTGTTGAATTTCAGTGAATTCATATGATCGAAGTTAAAACACAACTGGAAACTTGGGAGCACTAGGAGGTCGTCTCATTCTAATATAGGACTCCTCAACAGTGATTATCTACGATTTCGCATACTGGGGGTCGAACCTAAGACCTTCGGCCTCGCGTACAAACCCTTGACCTCTAGACCACTAAACCGGCATTCAACAATGTTAATGTCTGACTTCAATCACGGAAATTCAGCCACCTCCACAACCTCATACCGACAATCATGTATTCACAAGTAACTAGCTTCGAGGGGACATTTCCGGAGTTCTAGTGAGAAGCTATGACCATTGGAGCTAAATCGTATCAGATGAGACATTTACCCATTGACAACAGTGCAAGATGACCGCACAATATCGTGAACTAATTGAAGTTAGGCTTTAACACCATCGAATGCCGGGTCAATGGTCTAGAGATTAAGCATTCCCGCGTGCAGGGTCGTGATAAGCATTGCTGCGGAATCCCATATTAGGACAAGATGGCCACCCAGTGCTTTCAGATTTCCAGTGGTGGTCTAACTCAGATCGGTGTTCATGATTTCAATGAAATAATAGAACCGTTAAACATTACATGAACAACTAAATAAGAACAGCACCTTATACGCCAATCAGCTAGTTGATATTTCTTATTCGAAGATACGCCAACAAATCGTTGTAATAGATAACTAAGTGAGAAACGGCCATATTGTAGCAGGCGAGCAGCTATGCCTGTATCGAATAAGTTGACCATATACACACCGAAATCTCGTTGTAACCACATTAAATCAGAATCGGATCCATGAAACACCTTGAGAAATGTATAATAGAGAATGTGTGGTGGAGAGCAAGAGATATAAAATTTGTTACAAAAAAACATTTGCATATAGTGATCACTGAAAAGTGATGTTTCAAGCTCGATTAAATATAAATCTTACATAAACAGTTGGAAAACGGATACAAAAGAATTCCAAATCATTACACATTGAATTGCATAAGTAAGGACGATCAGATCATCCTTTGTAGTAACATGAATACTAACGAAAACCTTAGTGAGAATACTGAAAGAAATGATTGGAGTAGGAAGAGACTGGATGGCCTGGGAAGTTTCGTTAGGTATAGGTTCAATGGTGATAGCACTTGACTTTCAACTAGTCCGTTGGTTGCTTGAACATGGCAATCGAGCAACCGAGTTAATTAGTTCTTAATAAAAAAAATTGCGACCTAAAGCTAAGTATATATAGACACACGTAATTTTGGCTTTAAAATCACACACCAAGTGTGAGGGCTAGCGAAAGGATCTGGTTGCCAAAATCGAAGTAAGTTCAGGAGGACTCGAACTTACAACCTGGAGACTCAGTCAGTAACAACGCAGAACTTCGTACGTACGTACATCAGTTCGAGTTGTCATACCAAATTAGCACAGAGATGCAGTTGTCGATTAAAATCCTATAGTGGTAGAGGTAGTAAGAGTATAAGTAGTAATCGGAAACATTAGGGTTTGAAGATGCTATTCAAGAAGTATAATACAGTGAAATAAATTTGGAAAGAGGAAATAGAAAGCGACATGAAGAATCCATAACATTAGAATTTGGGAGAACATAAAGAGTGATGCACCTGCGCCATTACAAACGATTTTGAGCCATGTCATTCAGGGTCTCTAACCATCGATTGCCATCATTTCGTCTTCCACTTGCCCACTTGTCAACGACTCCATGGATTTGTGCCATGTTTTGGTCTGGCCGCACCTAGCTTTCTTCCAACCTACTCCTATACCACTGAGCATCGCACGTCGGAGCAGTCGGTGTGTGTCCCAACCATCTCAACTGATGAAGTTTCACTACTTCATCAATTGATTTGCCATCCTCACCTAGTACCCGTTCCCTAACAACTGAATTGCTTACTCGATGGTCCTAGGATATACGAACGATGTTTCGAAGACACCTACGATCGAATACTAGTAACCCACGAATATCCTCTACTCTTACCGGCCATGTTTCACTGCCATAGAGTAGGACGGGACGAACTGCTGTGCAGTAAACACATCCTTTGGTTGGTAGACGGATATCTCGCCCAAGCCATAAATGACGCGAGTTGACAAAAGCTAGTCGAATCTTCTGTATCCGTGCTGAGATTTCGTCACACACCAGATCACAAGGGCTGATGAAACTTCCAAGGTAAGTGAGGCGGACGACACGCTCAATTACTTCACGCCCTATCATTAGTTCGGGTGTCAATCCAACCCAATCCTGAAGCAACATTTTGCATTTCGAGTGAGAGAATCGCATCCCGAACGTGCTTGCATTGTTGCTTAGAGTGGTCAGAAGACTCTGCATTTTGTCAGCATCTTCACCAAATAGAACTATGTCATCGGCATATTCCAAGTCAACAAGTGAACCTCCCGGTAGAAGTTCAACCCCTGGAAATCTAGACGAGGAAAGCGTTATCTCTAAAAGTACGTCAATAACACAGTTGAACAAGAATGGAGAGAATGGGCAGCCCTGACGAACATCACTTGAGGTAATCAATTCTGATGACAGTTCGCCATAAGCTCTCACTCGACCAGTTGTGTTCGAGTAGAGAGCCTTTACAAGGTTAATGTACTTCTTTGGTACTCCTTTCAGTGACAAACACTGCCATAGAACCTCACGATCAACAGAGTCGAATGCCACCTTAAGGTCAAGAAATACTATCATTGTGGGGCGTCTGAATGCGTGTCTATGTTCTACGACCTGACGTAGTGTGAATATCTGGTCTATACAACCACGTCCAGGTCGAAAACCAGCCTGGTTTTCTCTAGTCTGTTCTTCACGAGCTTTGGTTAGGCGTCCAAGTATTATTGAAGCTAATATTTTAAACACTATATTAGTCAAACTGATTCCTCTGTGACTGTCACAAGAGGACTTTTGTCCCTTCTTAAAAACTGGAACAATCAGTGATTGAGACCAGTCACATGGGATTACGTCCAGTTCCCAAATTCTACCTAAGACCTCAGTTAATCTCACTGCTAATACTGGACCACCATCCTTAAAAATCTCAGGAGTAAACCTGTCAGGGCCTGCTGCTCTCCCTCGCTTCAGATTTTCTATGGCTTTTTCAACTTCGTAAAGAGACGGAGGACCTAGATTAACTTGCCATTCAGGTTTACTGGGGATCATGGGAAACCGAAGTGTGGCTGAAGGCCAGCTGAACTGGTCCCTAAAGTGTTCTGCCCATCGATCCAATCTCCTGGATTGAGAATGTATAATATGTCCATCTTTCTCTGAGATTGTTTCGCTAAAAGTCGGTTTCCTTAACAAGTCTGAACAGTTGTCTGCTGTTACCTATTACCGCTGCCTTTCGCTACCGACCACTGTTCACGATCATTGCATAGGCTTCTTGTCAGCTTACCCTTAAGTTGACTCCACTCTTCGTTATGTTCAGAGCCAGATGGAATGAGTTTTCGAGCATCTATCAGTGCGGTAGATACTGATGAGATCCAGTGTTTCTCTCTAACCTTGTGGTTTACCGTGCTAGCAGATATCACTGCTAGTGACTAGAGCTATCAAACCTAATGTTTACAATAAAGAACGAAAAATCATGGAATTTCTAGAGAAACAGAGATTATTAACTTTACCATTCATTTTATAGATGGAATCTTTGAAGCAATAGGAATTACTAGCATGCCCCCTGAATGCCCTGGTACGGCGGAGAGTGGGGAGAGTCCGCTCTCCCTCTCGAAATACTCTCACACGGCCACGCGTATACAGCCTCTGCCAGGGAAGTCCTACTCATTGCCTTCTCGTGGCGGGGGTGTTGTTTACGAAAATGTGAGGACGAAAAGCGAATGTCCGGCGCTTTAACCGGATTCCAAATCAATGGTGCACATGGGCTCCAGTATCCTGCGGGAACGAATGGCGTATGAACCAATCGTTGGTCACCGGCTACCATGGGACTGCATCTCCTTACGATGCTCCACTGCCTTGTGGGTTAGACCTTTAGGTCAAAGGCTCGGGGAGTGGCCCCCTAAGATAACCACCTGCTTCGGTTTGGGCACCCGGGCAGTATCACAGCCCACACACAAATGATGAACTCTTTATGTCTATGGAAATTACTTTTGTCGCTTTGAAAAACAAACAATTGATTCAGATTATTATCATTACAATTATTGTCATTATTAACACTAATATTATTATTACTACTATTATTGTCATTATTGTTATTATGATCATTATTATTATTATTTTCCACATTATTCACCCTCTTTTATACTTATACAGCGGCTCGTCTTTGGTGGAAATCCGACTGTATCTAAACGTTCTCGAGTCACTGTCCGGTTGAAAATTGTATGTTACCACCGAATACGAGGACTGAAGCAGATTTTCTGAAACCACGTGCACCATTCAAACTGGCTGCCTTCAACGTTCGCACATTTATGCAGGTCGGACAACAGATAGGGCTGGCTATGTCTTTGGAAAGTCTTAATATCGACGTGTGTTGTCTATCCGAGACCCGTATTCAAGACTCTGGCGAAGTACTACAAATTCGATCTCCATCTGTCGCTTCGAAAAGCTTGTTTTACGTGCGCTTATCCGGGGACCCTGTGGCATCTTCGTCTGGTCTTGCTGGCGTTGGTGTCGCACTAAGCGCTAGAGCTGAGGCAGCACTAGTCGATTGGATCCCCATTAACAGTCGGTTATGTGCTGTTAGATTAGAAAGTTCCATCAAAGTGAGAAGAAATCGGCGTGAGAAACGATGTCTTTTCGTCATCTCCGCCTATGCCCCGACAGATTGCAGCCCGGATGCAATCACGGATGAGTTTTACCACCAGTTATCAGTTCTTCTCCAGAAAGTGCGTTCGACAGATATTGTAGTACTAGCCGGAGACTTGAATGCTCAGGTCGGGAGTCTAGGCACTGAAGAGAGTCGTTTAGGTGGTCGATGGGGACTCGTTGGTCGCAGGTCAGATAACGGGGACCGTCTACTGCAACTGTGCACAGACCACAACCTGTTTCTGGCTAGCACTAACTTTCGGCACAGTCATCGCCGATGTGCCACCTGGCGTCCTCCCTCTGCATCTCAAGCCTGGACTCAGATTGATCACATCGCGATCAGCTACCGCTGGCGTGGTTGTGTACAAGACTGCCGCTCCTTTTGGAGTACCTATCTGGACTCTGACCATGCCTTGGTCTGCGCCAATCTTGCCTTACTTTTCAGTGGACAACGAAGTGAACGCCATCAACGGATTGATATTAGCAAGCTGGTTGCAACTTCTGTTGCAAGTAAGTATCGAACCGAGCTAGCCTCTAGGCTAGCTACCACTCCACCGAAAGTATAGATGAGCATTGGTTGCAATTGCATGACGCCATGAAAATGGCGGGAACAGTCAGTTGTGGGTTTGCGAAACGTCCCGCTTTTAAGCACTGGGGTTCTTCTGGTTCCTTACAACTCATTGAAGCCCGTCGGTCTACTCCGGGTGACCGTGAGTTTGACCATAAACGAAGGATGTTACGTGAGGAAATTGGGCAAAGCTTGCGTAAGGACCGAGAAGCCTGGTGGTCGATGCGTGCTAATGAGCTGGAAGCAGCAGCTGCATCTGGTAACTGCCGGAAGCTCTTCCAACTCATCCGAGCCACTGGCAGCAAGAAGTCTGGTGTGAGTGAAACAATCTGCGAGGATGATGGGATGCCAATCACTAACATCCATCGACGTCTTGGACGATGGGCAGAATTTTTCGAAGGGCAGTTCAACTGGCCTGCTGCTCCGGCAACATCGGTCAGACTGTCCTGCCCTCCATGGCCGGTGACGACTGATCCACCAAATGAGGAGGAAGTCCGCAAGGAACTCCAACTCTTGAAGCGTTACAAATCACCTGGCCCAGATGACTTACCTCCGGCTCTTTTTAAAGATGGTGGTGACTTTTTGACTAAGGAATTGACGACGTTGTTTACAAAGGTTTGGGAACTAGAGAGTGTACCAACGTCATGGAATGAGTCGATAGTTGTCCCTATCTTTAAAAAGGGTTCACGTCGTTCTTGTAACAACTATCGGGGGATAAGTTTACTTCCGATTGCGTCCAAGCTATTGGCTTCCGTCATTCTTCGTAGGTTGTTCAAAACCCGAGAAAGATTGACTCGCGAGGAGCAGGCTGGGTTTCGTTCTGGTCGAGGATGTATTGATCATATCTTCACCTTCCGCCAAATGTTAGAACACCGCCATACTTTTCAAAGGCCAACAATCGTAGTGTTTCTTGACATCAGGGCTGCCTTCGATTCGTTGGATAGGACTGTTCTCTGGGATTGTCTATTGAAGAAGGGTGTGCCTGAGAAGTTTATTAACATCCTAAAAGCCCTGTATAAAAACACCTCAGGCAGAGTGAGGGCATACAACCACCTCTCTCCATTGTTCCCTTCGAGCAGTGGGGTTAGGCAGGGTTGCCCAATCTCACCATTCCTCTTCAACTTTGCCATCGATGACATTCTGGAAACAGCTCTGATGAATGTAAGTAATGGTGGTGTGGATCTGTTGCCTGGAGAAAGACTCCTCGACCTTGAGTATGCGGATGATATTGTCTTACTGTGCGATAATGCCCAAGGCATGCAATCCGCACTTAATCAGTTGGCAATCAGTGTCCGTAGGTATGGCATGTGCTTTGCACCTTCGAAGTGCAAAGTACTTCTACAAGACAGGCAGGATTCTAATCCTGTACTCACCCTGGACGGTGAGCAGATAGACGTAGTTGAGAAGTTCGTGTATCTGGGTAGCTGCATAAGTGCTGGTGGGGGTGTGAGTGATGAGATCAATGCACGAATAGTGAAAGCCAGAGCGGCTTATGCCAATCTGGGCCATCTTTGGCGCCTTCGTGATGTTAGTCTGGCTGTAAAAGGCCGGATCTACAACGCGTCGGTGAGAGCAGTTTTGCTCTATGCTTGTGAAACCTGGCCTCTCCGAGTTGAGGACGTTAGACGACTCTCTGTGTTCGATCATCGCTGTCTCCGAAGGATTGCTGACATTCAGTGGCAACACCATGTCAGTAATGCAGAGGCTCGGCATCGTGTGTTCGGGCACAGAGACGATAATTCAATTGGTGTTACCATCTTGAAACACCGACTTCGGTGGCTTGGACATGTTCTCCGAATGTCGTCCCAGAGAATTCCACGTCGTGCATTATTTGCCGACTCTGGGACTGGTTGGAGTAAGTGGAGAAGTAGTCAGTATATGACATGGTGTCATGGTATGAAAGAAAGCTGCAAAGGGCTGGCTTGTGTCGGTCCTTCTTGACTCGCTGGTTGGGGTCCGAGAGATGATGCTACACAGTGGCTAGAGACGTTATCAGATATGGCTCAGAATAGAAGCCAGTGGCGATCCTGCTGTAACCTTCTTTTACTTTCTTCATAAAAAGTGGTTGTGTCTCCTTTACCTGAAAGATTTCTTCTGATTGTACCTCTTCGTCATTACTCTCTTTTTCTTTTGCGTTCCTTAGTTTTTTTTTTGTTTTTTCTTTTTACTTCTCTTCGAATTCCCATTGTTTTGTGTGGCGCATATATATTGGCGCTCTCTTGTACCAATATTTATGTGTTCAAATAAATAAATAAATAAATAAATTACTAGCATACTGGAGTTGCCAACCTAGTTTAGAGTATATTTATTGAATGTGCTCAAATATCATATTCTCTTACTGTCACAATTCAAATCCACGCTTTTTCTTCTATTAAAATTTGACCATGATTCAAGAAAATCAAATTCTATGCATTTATTTGAGATTCACATCTGAGTGAACTGATTTAAATAGAGAAATAATGAAAATATTCGAAGCAAAAAACCATTTGGTAGCATATACGATTGTATATAGTATTCCATCATTGAGATATGTCATATCACTCTATTTTAACATTATTTGTACACCGTCTAGGTAATTAAACTTCATACGTCAACTGTAGTTTATTTATATTAATGTGGACAAAAATCTCTTTCATTGATACATAAATACACAAAGAAATATGAACGGTCAAAATGTAATGATTAGATCAAAATTCTCAGGAAAACCAGCCAATGGAGGTAAAAGTGCATGACCTTCAGACATTTGCACTTCTCAAAGATGAGTCACAATCCCTTATTCAAAACCTTCACTTAATTTGAATAAGATTAAATTCTGTTACGATATTAACAGAGAATTTCATTTATTATATAAAGTTTGAGTGCTTGCATATGCAATATAATCAGCCTGGAGTTTAGGGTAAAACTATACTTTAGGAAAGAGCCAATCAGTGCCGAGAATCCGATGGTTAGGTTTCTGTGTGAAATTAAAATGTAATGTGTGATATGCAATAAGACTTCCTGTGTATGGAGCTCAAAACTCTTAAAGTGATAGCGTTAAGCTTATGAAATGTTTAATTCTATTTCTATAGATTGTATATAACAAGCAAATCGATTCTTACTCTTAACCCTAAGCCCTTAATTGTTAAACAAGCTTTAGCCCATTCGCACTCTATTTTATAGATAGATTAACCAGACAGAGACTGTCGGATGTTCGCGCAGCACTCATCCATACGAATACAGAGCACTTTGCATTAGAGCTGATATCAGTTCATGACGAAAAATTTAAAGTTTCTAGTCCTAACCCTAACTATTAACAATGTGAAGACTCCCAAAAATCTATTTAGGTCCATGAGAATATGAATAATATATGTCTGTAAAGATGAATTTGTATGCCATTGTTTTTTTGGATTGACAAGAAGAATAACCTGTGGAAGACATCAACAAATCCACCAATTATTTAAGATCTATTCACAGTTTTCAATGTTGTTGTTTTTCCTTCCATAAACTATCCATTTACACAGGCTGTTTACTGATTGATCAGAAACTAGCTGGAAATTAGTCACGGTTGTTTTAATTTGGTTCCTATGTTGTACTTCTACTCAGTTCAGTTTAAATTTGTTAGGAAAATCTAAGGGAATTACGAAAAAACGTAATAAAACAACAGTTCTTAGCATAGTTTGTCATTTCCTTAAGTCGAATATTAACTAAAAGTGGAGTCCCAAACGCTTATTTAGTCTAATTTGGAATTTACCAGCTAAATGCACAGATACAAATAATTAAATTTACGTGTTAGTAATAAAAAAGTGTAATTCTCTTACCTTAACGATTTTCGGGTCAGTGAACACTTCATTCAATATTGACAAATGATCACGTAGAGCCAATGCATCGATAATGTAATCAGTATCCAATGTACTCATTTGTATTAGACATGTAATGCCCAAGAAGCTTCGATAGCTATGATGCTAGAAGTGGTGGGAATTTACGAAAAGATACACAGGAGAAACAAAAAAGCTGTTCTATACCGCCGAATCAATGGTGAACGAGCGAAATTGTATCAAGATCACAGCTATTCAAGAATCTTAAGATTCTAATCCTAATTCCTAGTACAACAAATCATTCATTTACCTTTACTGTCTCCCAGTTGTTTAAATCGGATCATCCGGAGACACAGTGCAGCTATACCGAAGAAAGTCCTGAAAAACTTGAGAGACGTTCGACTTACACATTGTAATTACTAGATAGACCCTACGTTGAGTCATGACTACAGAGAGAATTGAAACTACAAAGATTAGAAAACGTATTTCAAGTTGTAATATTCATAGACTTATGGAGATAGTTATCACCAACAGTAAAGTAAATTTATGTTCACGAAAATGAGGAGCAAAAACGGTATGTTATGTCAATTTCTGAATATGGTCAAATTATTTACAATCTCGGTACAACCGAACAACGATTGACTAGATTCCAAGTCAGAACTTAATCCTGCTTAGTTCTGAATCCTTTCGTACTACACTTTACACTACTTAGTAAGACTAAGTAGTAAAACCGAAAACACTAAATTTACAAGAATAAGTAATCATCAGGGCAAGACTATAATTTATGGACGACCTTTGAGCGACGCTAGACTGACTTTGAGAGTGTCCACCTAATAACTAAAACCAAATGGGGGTTATAAATTAATTTGAGGAATTCAGCAGTAGTCGTTCTCTTAATTTATGAAATTTTTATAATCACACTATGAGTAAATCACAACTACAGCAATTCAAAAATTCTTAATTGTTCAAAATTTTCGATGAATATTCACCAATTAATTTATGAATGGATTATCCATTTATTAAGCTTTAATGAACGATAAAAAAATTTCTATTTTGCGTTTAGTTCAACACAACTAACTCATATTAATGTGTATTGGACTTGTATCAAAACACTTCTGTGAAAAATCAAAACTAAGACAATTTAAACAAAAATTCTAACACCTTAATCCCAATAATAAATATACTTTTTGTTATATTCCAATGCTCAATTTATTGAAAATATCAAGTCCAACCTTGGCATTGCTTGCTCATGCTTACGCCTGTTACTCCCAATAGAACATCGGCCGCCGATCGGCATTCTCTAACCCACTCTGTCCTGGGTCAACCTTGACATCGATACCTATAATCTCAGTATTAATTCAAGGATAAAGGCCAATATATTTGAAAGTTGCTTTGGATGACATAAGTTCGAGTTTTTGAGAGATCGTTCATTGATTTTGAGATACTTCGGCCTAGGTAGCAGTGCTTTACTGTCAACTGATATTTCGTGTGATAATGAGCTGTGATTGGACTGTGAGTGAAGAAAAACAGACTACCCTATGTAGACTATTGTACATGTTACTATTATGTGTAAAATACTCCTTCATGCTCTGATTTTAATGTGACTATACACTGTTTGTAGACTGTTAGCAGGTGAGTTAAGTAAACGTTTGTCTAACCTATAATCTGGTTCCCTTTCTTTAGTCGTGAATCATGTATCTAAGTAAAACGTGATACAGTATGTTTCTGTATATCCATGTAATCTAATAGTATCGAACACAATACAGTTGCCATATTAGTCCTTGTACTTTATCGTTATATCTCGTAACCCATTGGCTAAGTGCTCATAAGTAGTAAGCTCCTTTATTTAAATCAACAAAGATGGCATTAACTCTCCGAACTTAAACAACTAGTGATATATATTGTTTTCCGAACGTCTATTTTAAGCTTGAAACAAGAAAAGAACAAGCCGTTGTAGACAACAAACTGAAACTTTCTTAAGTCAAAACAGTGGCGATAACTCAGAGTGGAAATATATTTCAGAACATTTGTTATACAAAGCTACAGGACAAAGTAAAACGTTAAAAATATTGGTCTCTGATCGTGATACACATATAAGCTAAATAGCGTCAATGGTTTACATAGCTAAACTTCATATTAGAACAGTATAAGAGGAAACTAACAACATGACAAGAAAAGCACAGCAATTAATTTCAAATGTAATGGACGAAATATATTGAGGGAGTAAAAACCGCCTGAATCCAAATGTTATGCAAAAATGTGAACGGGAAATTTAAAAAAAAGTACACTTACTTCCAAGTCAACAGCAATATATTTACACATGGAAAGGGATTTCATCATTTGTTCAAGAGTATCTGGTGTGTCAACATACTGATATGATGAATCCAAAGGTTTCACTGGAAAATCTTCCGACATCATTTCATTCAAATTAGGTAGACTATTGGCAAACGCTTCTAATTCTGCTTTGTATGGATGAGGATAACTTGGAAAACAAGGAATTACAGTTTTTATAAATAAGGTATACACACTTACTCCGTCAACTCTCCATTACTGTTGGATAATAATTCTTAGTAAAGGTTAATTTAGAACAAACGTTAAATTAATAGAAATTACCAGGAAGTGGTTGAATACAATTTGGTTTTGATTTTATTTTCGGTCGAAACGATGAGTATGAATTGTCTGGTGGAGTGGAAAAAGATGTTTGTGGTCTGACAATATGTTTTGAGGATAAAAGTTTTAGTGAATTTTCCGAAAAATCAACTCCCTCATTAGTTTCTTCATTTGACTAAAATAATAATCATAATGTGAGAATGATGAAATGCATTGAACATACATTTTTCGTTTTTAACCATTCAAGAGATGTTGTGTTTTTTCGATGAACGGCAACCACCAGGTCTTCAGACCTTGTTTTAAGAAAGAATGCTTTACGCTGAGGATCTTCTTCAAAATCCATGGCCATCGCCTATTAATATATATGTAAAAATGACTGGTTAACTTTCGTAAATTAAAAATTACCAATTTTTCCAATATCCGATCGTTAGCATCAATAATAGAGGTGAATTTCTCGTGCATACTTTTAGTCACTGGAACATCTAAAATGTTAGCTTTCGCATCTAAAACATCGAGAATATTTTGTAGGCTAAATGAACGTAAAAAAAATGATGAGAAAATAATAGTGATAATTATTATTACATCGAAAGAATCTTTTTAGATTGTCCAGCTGCTATAGCCTTATACTGAGGAAAGTCATTGTAGTAAATATAAGCAGGTGTGTTTGATACGGGAAGTTCTTGAGATAGTTTAACAGCCCGAGCGACAGTAGGTAGAAGTTTCTATCACCGAAACAAAAAAAACATTAGTTATTTTTCCCATCTACGGATTATATACTTACTGTGGTCAAATCCACTTTTTTACATTCTCCTACATTTTCTCCAGATTGCGTTTGAGAAGACATCGTTCGTAAATTTATTGAAACAGGAGCAGTATTCAAACTAACTAATGGAAATATAGGTAATAAGAGTACAACTAAAATATTACCATTTGAATAGAAAACAAATACAAGCAAAATGACGCAACGGTTGTAAGCCGACTGCACGAGAGCTAATTAAGAGTCTATATACTGATTTATAGAAACATCGAGTTGACAATGAGTAAAACCTCATTGAGTTGTTCTTTTGTTCAGTCATTTAGAGTTCATGGAGTAGAAGTGAGAAAGGTAGTGATTTGTCAAGCAACCAAATAGGTACGTCAGTAATTTAAAGTAAACTGAAGTGCACTGCTACACTAATTACCATTTAGTGATAAAATAAGTGATACTAGCCCCGTAAAGCTTTAGCAGGATACTAACATTAGCTTCAATTGTTAACTGAAGCTGAAGAAAAGTGTGATATATAAAAGGTTATGTTCATCTCTAAGTGTAGTACGTGGCTGAAAATCCGTGTCAATGGCACAAATGAATTCACCTTTCGCTAGATCTTCATACATATCTTTGTATTCCTTCTTTTCGAAAGATATTCTTAATGTTTATTATTTCCTACTAGCATGTCTACCAATGTTATTTTGACTATTGGTATTCCATTGTGTCAACGTGATGTAGTAAATTCAGCAAACACACACCCTAGCCTCAATTTTGATGAGACAATGTTTTTGAGTATGATGTTTTACGACGCAAAACTTTCGCTACAATGGGGGCATTAAAAATCCGTCAAAACCGGTGTTTATAGATTGACACTGATTGAATTACTACCACTGTTCCCGAATATGGATTACTGGGTCTTGGTATTGCTAACACGATATTCCCACTAGATGTTGGTGGACACGGAGCGTTCACCTAGAGGAGTTGGAAAACCTTGATTTCAAGCGAATGGTGCACATGGTCTCCAGGACCCTAAAGGAACAAATGGCGTATGGACCAACTGTTAGTCACCGACTACCATGAGACTGCACTTCTTAACGTTTCTCTACTGCCTCATGGATTAGAACTCTCGATCAAAGGCTTTGCATATGGCTCCCTAAGAAAACTACCTGCAATGGTTTGGGCGCCAAGGAAGTATTTCAGCCCTCACACAAATCGAATGAAATGTGTCGCATATATATTTTGTACTTTCTTGTACCATTTATTAAATAAACGAGTGATATGGAGACAAAGATGATCGAACACAGGCGTTAAACATCCTTAGGTCGGAAGGGGTTGAATTTCACAAGCATAGAACAAAACCCATTTCACTAATACCTTGCATATACCACCGGTAAAAGTGTACAATACTTATGGCTTCAAGTGGATCAATTAGAGCTATAATAGCGGCTCGTGTATTGTGCGAGAATTAGAGCGCGATAACAAATAACTTGTATGTTATTTAGAACTAGGTGAGAACAGACAGCATTTTGTTAAAAGCGCTTAAAAACTGATTTTTAAAAATATATAGCATGCAAAGGAAGGGTGAATATAAGATGCTGCTTAAGATACATTACCACAAATACCTGCCCCCAATGCACGTTGTGTTAAAGTACTCAATGTGATTCAGTGCATACTCAAAATTGTTTACTGTATCTAGATAGTATTCTCACACTAACTTTAGGTTCCTCCAGTTTGCCTGCAATTGGGTGACAAGGCAATCAACTATAGATTAAATCAGTTTGTGATGAGAATCTTAACCCTAATTTGTAAATTCTAGCCTAACTTCTAATACTTATTCCTGAAATTTTCGAATAATAGTTAATGTCAGTTGGTAGCACAAGTTATATACGTTTAAAAACATTAGCCCGACTCCTGATATGTAAAACTAACAGTCTTCCGTTACTGTAAGGAATACTTCAACATGTGAGAGTCAATTATTCATATTGAAGCTACTATTCCACCGTTGCTTTATTGCTTTATTCATTAATTGTTATATAACTTGTGTCTCCTGATTTGCTGATAAGTCACCCACGGTCGGTCGTATAGTAAACTTTTACCATCCAACTGTTAACAGGCAAACTAACAGCGACGGAAAACAACCGAACCAAAAAAAAATCATGTCTATGTAGCATTGTCTCCACATACACACAGCTGTGATTTCTTCTTCATTTCTTCAAAGCACCTAGGTGTTTACCAGAAAGCCGTATGAAAAGACAATGGATCATATTGTTATTTTGGTTTAGACAATAACAATGGAAACTAAAGCCAATTACTTCCTTACAGTACTACTACAAGATTGTGGTGTGGTCAGAGTGACCTTGCAATCAAATCCAGTAGGTATAGTCCAATCTCCAAGATAAAATAAAAGTCACCCTGAATCTCATTCTGTTATTCCTCTTACTGTCCATATAAACTTTCGACATTTTATGAGCAGACAAAGCGGGCCGGTAATTTCGTCCATTGGAAGTTTCCTCAGATAACAATGAAAAAACCTATACAGTTAAAATTTTTGTTACCTTAAGTAAGAATAAGAGCTAAACTAATTATAATACGGGCTACTTAAAAATTAAAGTTCGGCATATATTTGTCATTTTCCCCCGTAAATAAGTCAAAAAATCTTGGGCGACATGATAGATTAGTTCGAAAAATCCACGAGCAGACAGAGTTCCTGTGAAATATAGATATCCCACCAGGTGATCACTTGTTAGAACTAACTACTGTATAAATAATTCATCAACCCATCTAAACAAGGAATAGTATGACCATTTACCTTTCATTCTTCCCTAGTTTGGAGGTAAATTACTTGCTATAGATATTTTGATAAGCTATGTATTTGTGAGGAACTGAGAGAGAAAAAAATGAAGAGGCGAGTTGATATCTCAGTTATCACATAGAATCAGTTTCTATATAATAACCAAAGAAGTCGATGAAAATTGGCAGTGAAACATTTGGTAATATTTTAGTGTCCTTATATCTGACTCTAATAGGATAGTATGAATGTCTGCTATCGAAATCCTCGTATATAATTATCGACTCACCAACGTTTTAGTTAAAATATAGGAGAGAATAATCAAAAAGACCATGATGAAATTTGAGGAAAGCAATAACTTGCTAAACAGAGAACAACATGGTTTCAGAAAAAGTTTATCTTGCACAACAAACTTCCTTATAGCAAGGGAGTATTGGATAAAGGCGCTAGAAAACAGAAACTCAGTAAATGTTGTCTACATAGACTTCAATAAGACACTTTACAAGGTGCCAATAAATAGAATCCTATTAAAGTTAGAAAATCTTGGTATTGGCTGACTTCTTTTAAAATGGCTTAAGAATCACCCAGTGGGTCGAGGAAAGCAAGTAAGAGTAGATTCCAAGTGCTCCACGTGGAGATCAACACTTAGTGGAGTACCTCAAGGTTCTGTCTTAGGTCTTTTGCTTTTTATACTGTATGTAAGTGATCTCCTAAGTTTAGTACAGTCCCTCCTGTTATTGTACTCTGACAATGTAAAAATCTGGTAAGTAATAATGGGAGACGTAGGTATATGCACACATCAGGCAGACTGAAATAATATGATTGATTGGTCTAAGTCGAAAAAAAAATTTAGGAGTCCTGGTGCCCTACGATTTAAAGTCTTACGCTAACTGTGACAAAAATGCCTTCCGAGCAAACCTTGCACTGGTAACATTGAAGCGCACTTTTGGCCAGTTTGACGGAAGAACTTTCCATATAATCTTCAATAGTTTTATCCGTCCCCATTTAGAGTACGGAAACATAGTATTTCCCCCTTCACTCCAAAAGGATAAGGACACTGTGGAGCGTATCCAATGGCGAGCCACGAAATCAGTTTGAGGAATCAAGTTTCAACCTTACAAAGAGCGCCTCCATTCACTTAACCTTTACCCATTAGAGTAAAGACGTCTTAGAGGTGACCTTCTGATGGCTTATAGTATGCTTAACACTTCTGGATATCCTCTCAAACACTCACTTAAGCTTGGTTCCAACACCAACCTAAGAGGTAACACCCAGAAACTGGAGGCATAACATAGCAGAACGGATTGAAGACACAACTTCTACTTCTTAAGAGTTGTCAACTACTGGAATTCGCTGCCAAGCGACTTCCCAGGAGGCAACTTGATCTATGCTTAAGGACTAAGGATTGTATCACACTATGATTTACTAACTTCTCTTCCTCTTCTATTGTTAACATACCTAGGTTCCTGCCTGGAGGATTTGGTGATCCCTTGCTACTAGACACGGAAGCCTGTTAGGCGAAAGCTTCTTCTATTCCGTCCACAACCATTCGAACCATTTATTTAAAGAGTGGCTAGTGCCTGTCAACGCGGCAAAGTGTGTCTGCATGCACTTTGGGGATACAAAGGTTATCAGGTACAACGTTGGGGAAGTGCCTGCACCCGTGAACCGATCTCATAAGAATCTTGAGGTGACAGTGCGTCATGATCGTAAGACAGTATATGCAATCTTATTGCGAACTAAGCTTGAGAAATGTGTTCAGACTGCTAGCCCCTGTTTAGAAAGTGACATCCTGAAAGACGTACAGAGGGCAGCTACTCGTGCAATTCCAGATCTCCAGTGTTTACCATACAAAGGGTGGTTTGAAAAGCTGGACCTCTTTACACTTTCCTATCGCAGATCAAGGGGTGATCTGATTTTGATTTATAGAACACTAAGAAATGATTTTGGACCTAACATATTCCCTATTTTAATTCCCACTAGATGAGGACATCCCAGAGAACATAGCAGTGAGTAGAAAATGCAAGAAAAAACAAAATACAGGTTTTCACACCGAGTCATCAATTCTTTGGACCTTTTATCCGAAGACGTGGCGTCCACACCTACAATTGACTCGTTCAAGAGAAGACTGGACACCCATAAAGGCATACTAGGAAGGGAATAACATAAGTTGTAGGCCTTCTGTCCTTACTACACAAATCTGAATCTGAACGAAGGTTTATGGTTCTTTTACGAAAATTCTGTTTATAAAGAAATCTCCATGTACACGTGGTTGCGATTTATTTTTTCTGATTACTTCAGTTGTCCAGTTCATTGATATTTTGATTTTGTTTGACATGGTACTGTGCATACTTTGTTGTAATTTCTGTTTTCATCATATCTTCACTGAATTTCCATGTTTTTCATTAACTACATCTATGTTGTTTTAGTTGATATTTGATTGTGGCGACTGCCATATTGACTTACTCTCGTTTTTGATGGTGTTGCTTGAAGTGACCACAATAGTGTATATTTGATTGTGCATGAAGATACTCTTCCAGTATTGGAAACACTCCGTGTTATGAAAGCTCCACGACCAAACCATCCAGCTCAGAGAACAGAACTCCATCCAAATTATCTACTTGAGCTACAGTTCTCCACCATTTCCTGGTTATAACAAAAATAAATGTTATGTTCCGAACATTTATTCGTGATCTATCCAGAAATGATAGAATAAAATTTCTATGTTGATTGGAAGATTTATTTGCTGCACTTTATTTGACTACCGGATGAACAATTATTGGTTAAATAACTGAGTGGCAATATTTGTCTGGAACACCGTGGAAGTTAAGCCATGGGTTCGTGAGCATGTAGTGGCATTGGACAATAGCCACACAATCCACAAAGCTGTGAACACGAGACTACTCAGAAAATAAATATTCAATATTTAACGCCGAGAAATACCTAAAAATGGAGAAGGCGCGAACAATGAATTGAATGGACTGGAGTTGATCGAGTGGCATGACTCGGCCATGCAGGCGTGGTCTCTATTCATATTAAATATATTGTTCTTTCTCTAACCTAACCTCGTTCTTCATCATGTATTGGTAATTGATACGATACAGTGAGTTGGCGTAGTCGATGGTGTGACTTCCACGTAAGATCTTATAGATTAGGCAGTTATATCATGACGAATCTACAAATTTAGGATTAGGTCTATTATTAGAGCAGTACTAATATCATAGTAGACCATAGTTCTACATTGGTGAGCCCAACTTAAGAAACGCAACCTATTATTATTAATCCTAATTTCCACTTCAACTTTCTCGATCGATTTTATATTTATGTTAGCCCTGTATTCTAATAGTCCTCTAATTAATGCTCACATGCATTATCGTAATGTTACATTGATTAGTCCTCATGACAAACTAGCTCAACCGATAATAAAAACTGGTCGTCTATATTAACTAATTAGCTTTGATGATTTGTTAACAAGCTGTAATAGCATTTACATGCTTCAGCGACATAGTCTTGTTTAAACATCAAGCTCTAGCAAATATGACCTGTAAATAGCGTAAATATACATTGACTAACAATGCGATCAAGGACTAAATAGTTATCTGGATCTAATTCTCAGTGTTCCTTCACTTAACACCTCATCCTGTTTTAAACGATGCACTATCCTGTAATATCTTTTCTTCCGACCACTGCCTGCCTAATTTCATATTCTCGATTTCCATTGCCAAACAACGAGGATGACTACTCCAAAAACATACGGTGAGTTCCAGCTATAAGTTTTCTGCAATCATAAGTTCATTTTAGATGGCACACACAATTATCTGGATTCATTCAGTTGTTCTGATCAGAGCGAGTCCCAAAGACCTCAACAGCATCAAGCACCCTGGAAGTGATTGCCATACTGTATGTTTTATTCTGGATGCTTTTGGATCATTACTACTCCTCACGAATGGCGTTATATATGTCGTCCACTGAATAATCTAATTTTCAAAAATAATCCAGGCGAGTTCAACTGTTTTACTTAATGATTTTTTTTACTAACATGTATATGTTTTCCGGTTCCTTTTGCCACATATTTGTAAGTGTCCCTAGGCTAAATGCCGCAACTTCTTATAGAATGTTTATAACGCATCATATTCCTGCCTAAAGTTTCATAAGCAGTCTGGTCGTGTTCATTATTTTTAAATTGTCATATACGTCAACAACCTGCTTGTTAACCTGGCCCGTACATGCGTTGCACTATATCTTCATGTCTTTTAAATTTAGAAATCATCTGAATCGCCTTTAACAATTATAAATAAACCCATCATAGCTGTTCTTTCTAGTCGTATTTGGGTTTATGGATTGGTTTATCATATTAGCAGCCTAAAATGCGAACATAGTTTAGATAATAAGATAAAAAATTTAAGTACTATCAACTGCACTAGTAAAATAACTAAATCCCCAGGTAGCTGTTGGCTAAACAAACGTTTGAAATCAAAACTCCGTAGCCTACTAGAATTAACTGTAAACGAATATTTCTGAATTGAAAAATATAATTAAATTAGGCGTCTCGGATTCCTTAACGTTGTAAATTTCTGATAATTTCGAATCAC